TCATGCAACACCCAAAGAACCCAGGTGTCCAGGTCCCCAGCTTGGGAGGGTGGGGACAGGAAATGAAACCCCGTAGAACAGAAAGTGAAACAGCCCAGGTGGGGCCGCTGAAAGGAAAGAAGAGGCCCTACCACACCTGGATGGAGAGGCAGAAAATAAAACCGGGGTGAGGCCTGAGGATGCAGGCTGAAGACTTGAGCATTGAACAAAGAATTTCACCCAGGGGACCATCTGCCCTCCCCACAACCGGTTTTCCCAAGGAGCAGGCTCATTTGGGTGTGTGAACCAGGCCTGCTAGTTTGGGGGCCAGGGGTGCGTCGGAGGAAGCCCTGTTTCTGCCCACTGGGAGAGGGTCCACAGGTGACCTGGACCACCCGGGCCCTGGTGGCCCGGGAGGTCTTTCCCTAAGGTCCTATCTGTAAAATGGGGGAGTTAGCCCAGTTCTGGATGTTTCTCAGAAGCCCAAAGAGCTCATTTCCAGGAATCTGAGAAGATCCTGAAATCTGGAGATTTGAGGATTTCAACTTGCTTACATTATAGGATCAGACATTCTAGAGTTCAGCATATTCTCATTCATTTTAAGATTCTCAACAATCTAGATTAGCGACAGCCCGTGTTTTAAGGTTCTAGGCATCTGCTGTGCTAGGCACACGGCAAAAGAGGATTCTAATATAGTAATATTTGACTATCTTAGCATTAAAGGATTCCAAGGACCCAGGAATCTAATATTCCAACATTTTAATGTCTTTGTATTTCAACAACTGAGGATTCTAATGTTCCAACACTCGATATCAGAGGAGTTCTGACCCCCGGGCCCCCACCCTGATGACTCTGGTGTTGGAAGCCAGAAGCAGGATGGGGTTAGGGAAGGCGGGTTTTAATAGGCCAGCATCAGTCAGAGCCAGGGGTGATGGGGAAGTGGGGTGGATGGACAAAGTCTCCAGAGCCTCTGAACTTTGGGGAGAGGTGCCTGCCTCTCCACACACATCTCAGGCCAGGGGGAGGGCAAAGAATGGGCTCTGAGACCTCGCTTGCCCCTGGCAGCCAACGCAAGCACACACACCTACACCTGTCACCCGATCGCCGCGGCTTCAATTTCTACTGTTTCCACCAAATGGGAGGTCAGGGATGGGCCTGAGCTGGGAGGTGTTCCCCCACCCCATCTGCTCTCGGCACCTGCCCCTTCCTCCTCCCTTCTTCTACACCTGGTGGGCCCCTCCCTTCCTCCCTGCCGGCTGCAGAAAACAACATGCAGGGACTCGCAATTTGGGGAGGCCTCTGGGGCACCGCACCCCTGCCCAGGTCTCCCTCAGACGGGTAGTTGGGTAAGGAGGCAACTGGGAACCAGAGCCCTATCCCCCCATCCCTTGGTCTCCCAAAGCTTGGACTCCCTTCCTCCCCCTCCCATACACTAGGCTCCCAGTCACCTCTGTCAGGAACCCCCCTCCACTGGACCCAAGCTGGATTGGGGAAAGCCCGCGCCCTTACCTTCTGGTCCACGATGGAACAAGCCAGCTGCTTCACGTGGGCCAGCTCCGAGGCAGCGGGCAACAGCACGAACTCGCGGGTCAGCCCGATCTGGATGTGGAAGGAGACCCCAGGGCCCGGCGCCGGGACTGTAACTTGGGGCAGCAGCGGTGGTGGCGACTGCAGGTCTAAGCCACAGGGGGGCGGAGGAGACCCCGGCCCGGGAGAGCCTGGGAGCCCGGCAGGATGGGAGGGGGCGGCAGCCATGGGGGAGGCCCGGGACCGGCCGCCCCGCGCCCACCCGGGACCGGGCTGGAGGAGGTTGGGAAAAGCCGGATCACTGTATCCAAGGGTTCTTGTACACTGGTCGTGGGAGCGCAGGATCCCGGGATCCGAGAAGAGAAATCTGGCAGGTTGAGGGGACTCGAGGATGGCGTGACCCTGGGAAATTAGAGAAAAGAAATCAACTGGATCAGTCGCCCGGGAATCAGACGATCACAGACGATCAGAAAAAAAAAAATGCTTTAGGGATCCATCGAGCGATTGAGAGATTTCAGGAAATCAAAGAAGAAAACCTTGTAGGTCGGGGTCGCAGGGATCAGCAGAGCCCCAGGATACAAAGGCTCCTTGGAAAGAGAAAGAACTGAAAAAGGAGAGGGGGACCCCAGAATCCAGTGGCTCTTAAAAAAGGATCTAATAAAGGGGGCCGAGAGATTCACCAGACCTTGGGGATGAAGGGCAAGGGTCTCAGTCGGGGATCGAGTGGATCCCAGAGTTCCGAAGGGCCCGGGGATGTGCAGAGGGACCCCGAGGGCCGGGGTGCTAAGGAAGGAATCTCACGGATCTCGGAAGCTGGAAAAAAGTTCAGTCGGGGGGCCTAGCGGGGAAGGGGGCGTTACCGGCCGCGGTGGAGGTGGGGCAAGGGAGGGTCGCCCGGCGCCGGTGGCTCTTTTTCCTTCGCCAAAGTTTAACTCGGCTGCTGCGGCCCAGAAGGAAGTGTCCGGAGCGACGGCTTAGTAAGCCAATCGGCGCCGACTTAGGTGACGTCAGAGAGAGGGCGGGGTGTGCCGAGGGGGCGGAAGGGGAGGGCGGGCCCAGGACCTCAGAGTCTGGGGTCTGGGAGCCCCGGTGGGAGATAAGAGGCCGGAAGATGGCACCGCTCCCTCCTCCCAACACAACGGGGTCGGCGAAGTTAATTTTTCCCTGAGCTGGAGAGGGAGGGGCGAGCCAGCCTCTTCGCTACCCCACGTTGCCGGGGAGGGCGCGGAGGCGGCTCCTGGCCCTTTAAGGAAGGAAGGGGGACGTCTTGCTTGCATCCGGCGCCCACCGCAGGGGAAAGGGTGGGAAACGGGGTGTCAGGTCCGGCCGGCTGTCTGGGCTCCGCCTCCCCCCTCCCTGACCGTCTGCTCTGCCCCTTCCGCCTCTCAGCCCTAGTCAAGGGGTGTTTCAGAGTACCCCCTAGCCCGATAGTTAAACAGGTGGGAAGACAGACCTCCAGATGGGCAGAGGTCGTGGCCTCAGGTCTGTTTCCAAGCAACCTCGGGCAAAGCGCACGGCGCGAACCAGACCCGGGCTACCTCTGCAGGAGAGTCAGGCCGAGGGCGGGTGGAGCTGTCGTTTCCTTCCATCAACTCCCCACTCCACCCCAGCCCTCTGGAAGGTGAAGGACCGGAGGCCTGGGGTACCCGGAAGGGCCATAGCGACCAGGGAGGATCACACACGCACACCGTCTCACAGACGGAAAAGCATTGATCTGTGTGACGTTGGGTAGGTGACTTCCCTTCTCTGAGACTCAGTTTCTCCGTCTGTTCATAAGATTTGACCCCAGAGGGTCTTGGCGGAGATTGAGATTATGTAGTGGGGCCTGGAACACAGTTCGGTAAATGGTGGCTATCACTGCCATTGCAGGGGTACAGGGGTGGGTATCCTAACCACTCAGGTGGGCGTGTTCAGTCGTCCAACGAGCATCAGCTGACAATCTGCCGTGTGCCTGGCCTGTCATAAAACACCTTTTAGCTCCTTCGGAAGCAGTTCAGCTGTGGCTGGTGTGGCTCAGGGGATTGAGTGCCTGCCTGAGAACCAAAGGGTTGTCAGTTCAATTCCCAGTCAGGGCACATGCCTGGGTTGTGGGCCAGGTCCCTAACAGGGGACATGCGAGAGGCAACCACACATTGCTGTTTCTCTCCTTTCTCCCTCCCTTCCCCTCTGTCTAAAAATAAATTATTTTTAAAAGGGAAACAATTTAGACTTGATTTCAATTTAGATTTCTCCTCCCCAGATAATAATGAGTGGCTACCATGTAATTTACATACAGGAAGCTAAACCCTCAGAGGCAAAATGACTTGTCCAACATCAAGCCAGTTGCTACCGATCACCCTACCCCATTCATCCCGGTTTGAGCTCCGAGGCCATTTGGAGAGACGGGCCATCTGCCTGCACACATTCCAGACCTGCAGGACTGCCTGGGGGTGGGGGCCCTGGGAGAAGCCCCCCTTCCTAGGGCTGTTGGGGGAGCGGAGGTAGGTGCAGTAGCGATTCTGTCACCACATCCGGAGGCTGGCTGGGGCTGGGGAAGGAAGTCTGGGGCTGGAGCGAAAACCCACACCACCACCTGGGGAAGATGTTGTGAGCCCAGAGGGATGAGGGGGAGGCCACATGGAGCCCACAGACCTGTCGGCCGGCTGCCCACCTGCACCCTTCTAACTTGTCATGCTAATACTTCCCCAGCATGCGGTTTGTAGGACTTCATCAAGTGTTCTGGGGGCTATAATCCCTATTCTGGGCACCTGAATGCAGCCCTCGACAACCTAGGAGGTGCTGGGACTTGCCCAAGGACATTTTGCTGGTAGGCAGTGGGCTGAGCAAGCAGAGTGACAAGGGACGGAATACAAATTCTGATGACCTGTTGGAGGCCTTGTGAACTTTTTGAGGACCCTGCCCCCACTCTGGTCTAAGGCATGCACAGTGCCCCCCACTTTCGGAGGTTTTGCAGGCCCAGTGAAATGGCACATGCTAACAGGGGTCTGGCTCCTGCCACGTGTACAGGTGAATGCTGTGCCTGGACCACCTCGGAGGGATTCATCCAGACCCCACACCTCCCAGCAGGCGGAGGTGTTCTGTGTGGGCAGCTCCTAGGCTCTCCCTTCCTGCTCCCTGTCCACGCAGGCGGGGGTTAAGGCAAGGAGGGGGTCAGCCCACACACAGGGAAGCAGGCGGGGTGAGGTGCTGAGTTCCGAGCTACACTGAAACACTGGACCAGCTGCTTGTGGGACTCTGAGGCTGCTGCTGTTGCGGCCCCTGGGGAGGCAGCGCTCGGGGACAGAAAGGAGGGGCATGGGGAGATTCGGTCCTGTACCCCGACTTCCGTCCCTCCGCCCACACTGCACCCAGGCTCTGGGCCCCGCTCTGTGCTCCCCGCCCTACCACAAAACCCCAACCCATTGGCATATGCCCTCTCTCCAAGCTCCACCCACCCGACAGAGCCAGTTACTCTGCCCCCAAAGTCCCCGGTCCCCAGACAGCACCACGACCCATTTACTCCAAAGGGTTTACTTGAGGCAAGTTTCACATACAAGTCCAGGACAGAGGGGACAGGGCTCATAAACAGGGACCTGGAAGGGGCCCAAGGGCTCATGGGGGACCCAAACAAAGAGTGAAATAAATAGAGGGAGAGAGCAGAGGGCCAGGAGAGGGGACAGACTATCACACGGTGATAATGACATGGGGGCGGGAGGGGGGTTCATTAAAATCCCACTTATTTATACAGATATACAGGGTGTTATGGAGGACCTTGGGGACCCCACTCCACCCTCCATGCCCCAGGGAGAGGGGCAAGAACAGGCCATCTCTCCCCATGGGTGGCCCGTGGGGGGCAGGGGGCTGCCCTTGTAGGAGTATTGGGGAGGTAGGGGCGGGCACCTCCCCAGAGGGCCTCGCCTGCACCCCAGGCAGTTACCGGCCTTGAGGGCGCTGGGTAGTGTCTGGAAAGCTGAGTTGAGGGAACTGGAGGGCAGGGCAGTGGCCTGGGTGTGCTCCTGGGGTGGGTGGGTCTGGCTGGCTCCGTGGTGGCTGCCCTCCGACCCACCGCAGGGGCGCCTGGGGCTCCTCCCAGCACAGCTCCCACCCAGTACGGGAGGATGGAGCGGAAGGATGGGGGTTCAAAGACAGAGCCTGGCACCTTCTGGAGTCTTGGAAAAGCTGATTCCCAAGGACACCGACCCTGGCTGCGCTGCCACACCCCTCACCCCACCCCCGCCCGAAGGCAGCCAGGAAGCCAGGAGTGGGTGTGGAGCAGAGACGGAACTCCCAGAGACCATCTTAGAGGGTGATTCCTCAAGAGGCAACCCCCCAGGCTGGGTGCTGGGGGACAGCCACCTGGGAAAAGGGCCTTTAGCACCACCAGGCTTGAGGCAGGCGGGACGAGGCCGGGCCTCCAGGCCTCCAGACTGAGGCTGAGTCACCTGTGGAAGACAGAAGAAAGGGGGGACTGAACCACGACCTCCAGGGACAAGTGGTAAGGCAGCTGTGGGTCACTCTAGGCCTCAGCCCCTCCTCTGAATGCCCAAGGACTACACAAGCGAGGGGCTGTGTTTGAGGCCCCTTCAAACACGCGGTGAGGACGCAGGGGGTTTCCGCCCCCCGGGCCAGGCCGCCCTCTCAGCCCAGCTCCTCACCTCACTCCCACCTGCCAGGTGGGCATCATACAAAGACCTTGGCCAGGGCGTCGGCGCCCGCACTGGCGATGAGGGCCTTGCTGGGGTGGCAGGCGACGGCATGGATGGCCTCCTCGTGCTTCTTGCGGTGGGCCGTGATCTCCTGCACGCACGTTTTGTTGTCCAGGCTCCACAGACGCAGGGAGCAGTCGTGACCTGTGAGGGAGCAGAGCGGCCTGTGGCACCTGGCAGCGCCCCTTGGCCCACCCCGGCCCCTCAGCCGGCCTCTCCAAGGCCTCGGGGTCCCCCTCCCACCAACTTCTGCCCCAGCACCTCCTGACCCCTGCCTGTCACCCATCCATCTCGGCACCAGGTATTTACTAGACAAGGGCTCTGTGCTGGGCCCCGGGGCACAGCGCACCAGACAGGCCAACCCCCCCTGGCCCTGTGGTGTTGACACCCTGGTGTGGGAGGCAGTAAACAAGGAAACGGTGAACTGTGCCGGGTGGTCACACTCCTTGGTAAGCGTGAGGACAGAATGGCCAAGGGGGGAAGCCGGGAGTGGGTTCTTCTGGGCAGTGGAGACAGCCAGGGGAAGGCCCTGAAGACGGACAGGAGGCGGAGTGCTGCACTGGCCTGAGCAGAGGCGCAGGGGAGGGTGGGAGGAGGAGGAGGTCAGAGAGCTGGGAGTGGAATGGGCGGGGCCTTGGGGGCCAGGAGCCACTGGAGGGAGACAGCCTGACTGGTGGCTGTCTCCCTCCAGTCGGGGAGGTCCAGTCACGACCTTCGAAGGATCATGTCAGCTGTAGGGAGGCCCGTTCTTTGTCCCTTTCTGGGGGACCGGGGCCTATACTGGATCCCCTCCACCAGGGCTACACTTCTCACGGACCACACCCTCACATAGCTGCTCAGCGACAGCCCCTGTGGTCCTGGGCGGAGAGCAGGACAGGGTGGGGCCACAGCTGCCCACCACCCCGCCGCACCACTCACACCTCTGCACACTCGCTCGCTCTCGCCCCGCACCAGTGAGTGGCACAAGCAAGTGGCAGCCGTCCCCAAAGCAGGCTCAGCGCCCACCAGCACACGCCCATCACCCCATGGGGGAGCTCCGGCCCCTTCTCCACCGGCCCAAGTCCCACCCCACCCCTTCGAGGCCTGGCTGCACAGTCGGGGCTCAGTGCCCTCACCACCTAGAGCAGGGCGGTGACAACTGAGGAAGCTCATGAGGCCTGAGTCAATGGCCTGAGCTTTGATGCCTGCAGTGGCAGTTACGTAAGTCTCCACGCCTGTACAACGGGGACGGGGGCCGGGAACGGGGGCACCAGCCTCATGGGGTTAGTCAGACTCAATGAGTGACGTAGGCAGGTGCTGCCCACAGTGGGCTCCCAGTGCACCGTGCTTTGCTGTCACGACTGTGACCACCTTCCTTCCTGCCACTGAGAGGTCCCCTGCCCAGCCCTCCGCGGTCCCAAGCACTGCTTCAGGGACGAGGCCCGGGCCTGCTGGGATGGCACATGCCCTTGCTTCTCGGGAGCCATGAGGGTCCCAACTTACTTCCCGACATCAAAAACACGCCATTGGGGTCCACGGCCAGGCAGGTGACTGCGTCCAGGTGGGCAACCATGGAGTGCACGCATTTCCCTGTGGGAGAGGGGCGGCAGGTGACTGTCCTGCTCTGCGCCTTGCCTGGGAAGGTGAACGGGCTGCAGGGGACGCTCAGCCTCCGGCGTGGACACGGGGGCTCCTGTGAACGGGCCTGGTCGACCCCCACCTCCCACAGGCGCAGGGGCCAGGGAGCTAGGAAGGCAGGGCCTCACCTGTCCGGTTGTCCAGGAAGCGGATGCCTCTGTCGTCATGGGCGGTGATGGTGAGGGGCTGGTTTGGGTGACTCACCACCTGGTTGATCTGGGTCGGGCCTGGAAGGAAAGGCCGGGAGAGGAAGAGACGTCGGGGGAAATCAGGGGACCAGGACAAAAGCAAGAGGAGGGCCCTGCCCCACACCACCGTCCCCGCCCGGACGAACAGGTGGGGCACCAGCCGCAGGCTGCTCTAGGCCAGCGCCAGCTGCACACTGGGCCCTGGGCCGTCTCGGGGGAGGGGGGTGATGGAGGCTGGGAGGGCCTGTCCGTGCCACCACGTGGCCGACAGGCGAGGCCCTGACACGCTCCCTCCTCAGCCCTCCCCACAGCCCACGCCCCGGGCTGTCCCTCAGCGCAGGGACTGGGCCTCCTCTCAGAGTCCCCGAGGGGGTGGGCAGCCATCCGCGGCTGACGGAGCCTCGGGGAGAACTGGGGCCCTGGGGACACTTGGACCCCAGGCCCGGGCCCTCTTACCGCTGCTCCCCTGGGACTCCAGCGTGAGGAGGGCAGTGCCAGCCTCCAGGTCATACAGGATGGTGTCTCCAGAGCGGAAGGAGGCCACGACGTGGGCAGGCTCGGTGCTGGCGAAGGCCACTGAGGTGGGGGTCCTGTGATCTGACGGGGGGTGGGGAAGGCCGCCTCAGAGACCAGCCGGGTGCAGGGGTCACCCACCTCCTCGGGGATCCCAGCTCTGCACAGCCCGAGTGAGGTGCCAGGTCCCCCACCGTCCCCACGTCCCCCTGCTCACCACTGGCTGTGGGGAAGGTACAGAGGCAGGTCGGGCTGTTGCTGCTGGGGTCCCAGATCCGGATGGTGCCGTCGGCGGAGCAGGAGGCCAGGCGCTGGGAGGCCGGGCTGAAGGCCAGGCCCCACACGGCATCCCCGTGGCCCTCCAGGACCCGGCTTAGCACGCTTGGGTCTGCAGCCACCGGAGGGAGGAGGCAGACCAGTCAGGGCCACCAGCCCTGTTGTGGACAGCCCAGAGCGCGAGCCCTGCCACACGGTCGGCCAGAGCTGTCATGCCCTCGGACCTGTCCCCACGGCGACTCGGCCTGGTGACTGCTCACGCTCGACCCCTGGCTCTCCTGGGGAGGTTTGGGGCTCTCAGCCGGCCCAGCACAGAGGTTACAGGAGAACAGGGGTGTCCCTGGTCTCTACTGCCTCTGGGTGCACAACAGTGACCGGCCCAAAACGCACACTCCACATGTACCTTTTAAAGCTGAGTTCAGGGGAGAAGGACAATAGCGACTCCAGCCTGAGACCCTGCTCGAAGCCTGGGCCTCGCAGGCTTTGCTGCCCCGCGCACCAGCCCTTTGCTCATCCCCTCTGCTGCCTCCCCAGTCACTCGCGTCCCACACAGGCTCTGGTCAGGCCCCAGCGGGCGGCAGCCCGTTTGGCTCAGCACACACGCTGCTGGCCCTAACCCCTGACCTTTCACAGGGCGAGGTGCTCTTGGAAAGAGGGCGCACACTCCCTGAGGGAGACGGAGCCCCACACTCCACCAGGACAGGAGGCCCCACAGAGCCAAGGACGTGGCCGACAGTGGTGCCGGAGAGCAGGGCCCGCACCGGACAGCGGCCCCTTCTCCACTTAACTTTCAGAGGTGCCCCAGGATGAAACGCAAACCCCTGCACGCTGGCCCAACTGACTCCTCCCTCCTCCCTGGCCCTCCCCGGCTGAATGACAGAGCTGCAGGCAGAGCTCTGGGTACATAGTGCGTCAGGGGCCACCAAGCCCACACATGGGCTGGCCTCGGCCCCAGCTGATTCTGGGCCAGCACAGCCCCCTCGTCCATCCGCAGTCACACGCTGGGTCACACCGTCCTGCGCTTCACCAGGCTGGGTGCCCCGTCATCCGCCCCCACCCCCGCCCCTGCGGTGTGGGGGAAGGGAGGTGGGCGAGGGAGCTGTCTCACCGTATCCATCATAGGGGTCCATGTTGAGGTCTGGAATCTTCCAGCTGTGGATGCGGGCATCTGCCCCGCCGCTGTAACAGTACTCACTGTTGCTGCCCATGGCCACCGCCAACACGGGGCCCCTGGAGGGTACAGAGGGGCAGGGGGACAAAGCTTCAGTGCTCACCCCTCTTAGTCCCTCTCCCGGGACCTCAAAGTTCTTTCTCTACCAGCCTTTTCCAAGGGTGGCCAGGAGGAATTCAGCCCCTGGGGCTCTTGCCATGCCCCCGCAAGCTGCCTGTCCTCTGCCTCCCCCACCCCCACCCCCGTCCCCTCCGGAGGCCGTGCCAAGTGCCAGCTACTGGAGCACTGGCAGCACCTGCAAGCAGAAGTGAGGGCACGGTGCCCGGGGATGTAAACCCCTGCCGCCCTGCTTCCCGCCGGCCCCTGCGGTGGCAGCGAGGCGGCCAGGAGCCGGCCGCCTTTGGGGGTACCCCCTTCCTACCTGTGAGCCCGGAAGGCATGGATAGGCTCCACGTCCAGTGCAGCATTCCTGTGGGGGACAGGTGTCACCAAGAGCCCTCATCACCCCGTCCCCTGGGCCCAGATGCCACCCCCCAGCCCCCACCCCGGGCTGTGCCCTCACTTCTTGGCCGTGACGGCCTTCTGCAGGTTCCAGAGCTTGAGCGTGCCGTCCTCGGAAGCGGTAAGTAAAGCCGACTGGCTGTGGTGGAAAGCCAGGGAGCGGATGCCGTCGTAGTGGGAACGGAGGGTGAACTTGGGGTTCCATGTCTTCTTGAAGGCATCTTTGCTGTCGGACAGCTGGGGGTGGGGTGGGGAGAGGCCTCAGTGTCCCCTCTCCCACCCGGGCAGTCACACAGTGACATCCAGGACTCCAATGACTAGTCCTTCTGCCGCCCAGACCCGCACACAGCACCCCCTGCACTGGCCTCCAGACCCAGCTGCTCCCCGCTTTCTCCTCCTGGCCTGGCAGCACCCCCACTCCCTCGGCAGGCCCTCCCCAGGTCGCAGGGGGCTGAGGCAGACGCCCAGGCCGCCCCGCCCCGGCACGGGCAGTGTTGTAAACTACAAATGCACTGGGAGGGGGCACCCAGCAGCCTGCCGGCCTCCGTGGGGGGCAACAGGCTTTCCTGAGCAAGTGACAAAAATAAGCAGGGTCGTCACCAAACAAGGAAAAGGGACTGAGGAAGAAAACGAACGTGCCGAGTCCCCGAGGCAGAAGCAGCAAAGGTGGCTGCAGGGCCTGCGAGGAGGCCCGGGTGCAGACAGCCAGGGGGGAGCGGCTGGGCTGGGGTGTGGAAACAGGGGCCGGCACACAGGGCGGGAAGCGGCTGGGAAGCAAACTCCCAGAGACGCCGCGCATGCCCTGGGCGGTGGCAGTGCCGCTCTCTGAGGAGGAATCTTGGGGAAAGAAGCTACTGTCAGGCCAGCCTCAGTGCCCCGCCCCCAGATCCCCGGCCCAGCTGCCCCTTCTGCACATTCTTTAGGGCCAGATGATCTTCCTGGTGTGGTGACCCCCACACTCACACATGTCCCGGGGCAGGTGGGTCACACTCAGACCCGCTCCCCAGCTTCCCACCGCAGTGCCCCTGACTGCACTGGGATGGGGAACCAACCACCTGAGGCCCTGCCGAAAGCTCCATGCACAAGGAAATGCACTTGACTCCGGCGTTCCCCGATGGCCATGGATCTCAGGCTGCGAGTGCCGGCCCTACGGTTCCCCTTCACTGCAGCCCGCAAGTGCACCAGACCCGCCTGACTCTTTGGTTGTGATGATTCGTAACCACCTCCCCTTCTTCAAAGGTCAGCTCGGTGCCAACTCTCTGCAGACTGTCTGACCGGCACTGCTGCCCGCCCACGGTGCCCCCCTCTGCCCCCAGCAGTGGTGCGTCCTGGACTTGGGGTGTGCCTAAGTGGCTGCACCGGGAGGGAGGGGCCCCTGGACAAAGAGCCTAGCACCCTGATCCAGACACAGGCTCGAGTCTTCTGGGCTCTGCCACGCACAAGGCCACCGAGGCCCCAGCCCGTCTGTGTCGGCACCCCTCAAACAGCGTGCGCTGCAGAACACGCTCGCATGGTCCTCACGTGTAAGAGGCTGAGCACGGCGAGCGCGCAGTCAGTGCTCGGCTGAGGCAGCGCAGGATACCCCGAGAGGGCCGTGGGGGGCGGACCCCTGAGAACTTACATCACAGCTGAGGTCGTTGTCATTGGTGACGGTGAGATCTGCCAAGTCCCCCAGGCTCACCTCCCCGCCCCCGATAGTGTCCATGATGAAAACGTCTGAGGAGAAGCCAAAGGAACCTGGTGGGGGGGGGAGGGAGGGGTAGAGAGGGGCCGGGAGAGAGCGAGAGGCAGAGAGAGGCAGAGAGAGAGAGATGAGGGGTGAGAGACAGAGAGAGGACAAGATCAAGAATCACAGCTGGAAAGAGAGAGACAGGGAGAGACGGACAGGGCAGGACAGACAAAAAGAGGGGGAGACAGAGACAGACAGACGACCTTTTGGGGCAGGGAGGCTGCAGGCTAGGGGCCGGGCCAAGACCCTGAGGACACAGAAGCCCCAGGCTTAGCTCTACAGCCTCCCTCTGCCAAGGGTGCCGGGGGAGGGCCTCTTACCTTCGTGTGGCCGGGGCTGGGGCGTGCCAGGAGGCGGGCCGGTCACTTTGGGGGGCAGCCCATCCACATCCCGCAGGTCGGCCAAAATGCCCTGGAGTTTGACCCGCCGGCTCTCTGCAGGGAGGAGACAATGGGCAGGAGTTACCCCCCCAGTTCGACCCAGCCACGCACAGGTGACTCCTTCCCCACCACCGGAAGCCACTCCTGCGCGGAGGTTGGGAAGCCCTGCCCCGGGCTGCACTGAGGCTCAGGGTGGCGAGGGGGATGGAAAGACAGTCATTGGGCTGGGAGCCTCAGCAGCCCACCTGGCGGGGCCTCGGTCTCTGGCCACGTTCCGTGACCCCGAGGGCCTCACAGCTCGGAGTCGGACTCCCAGGACCCGAGGGAGACGCAGCACTGCCCCGACCACCCCTCCCCCGCCGGTCCCCATCCTGTTTCCTCCCGGGGGCCTGCCAAGAACTGGCCGCACGTGCACAGAAGGCTGGTGGCCCTGCTTCAGGAAGAGCCGGGCCTGCCTGCGTCCCCACGGGGATTTTCCAGGGAAGGGGTGCGGGCCTGGCTGCCGCCGCACAGGCCTCCTGCTCTCAGGAAGTGTGTCCGTCCGGCAGAGACCCTGGGGCAGGATGCAGCTGCAGGTGGCTGAGTGTGCCCCTACCACCCTCCCTAAGGACGGCTGACAGGAGCCCCCCACTCACCCAGCTCATGGTGGGGCCCCTCCCCAGCACATCGCCGAGGGTCCGGAGAGCCCTCCCCATCCTCTCCTGAGCCCAGGAAATCGAACTCGTTGATGGCATCCTCTGAGTCGTCCTCTTCGTCCTCGTCCTCCATTTCGGGCACCAGGGCCTTGGCTGGCAGCTGGGGCGTGGAGGACACCAGACAGGTTAGGGAACTCGTGCCCAGAGCCCAAGCCCGCGCGTCTCCAGAGTCAGAGAAGCCGGGTTCCCTGTCCAGAACCATGGGGCTCCAGCCCATGGGACTCCTTCCACCAAGCCCTACATTGGTGGCAGGGCTCCCCCTGCCGGGAGCCCTCAGCAGCTGCTCCCGTCCAGAGCCCTGCCGGCCTGCTGCCCAAGCCTGGCTTGGCAGACTCCTCCCTAGGCCACCTCCAGCTGTGACCCCTCCTCCGGCTTCCTGCTCAGGGCTCAGGCTTTTCCTGCTCCCCTAATCCCTGCTCCCCCAACAGTGTTTCTCATGAAGAGAAGTCTGTGCAACAACCCCCTTCGGGGCGGGGGCCACGTGTTCGTGTCTGAGTGTGGAGGAGCCCAAGTAAGTGAGGACACGCCCATGAATAAGAGAGTATTAACGACAAGCCCTCACCAGAAGCAGTGCCAACCTCTGCCTCACTCAGTGCACCGAATAAGACTCACACCGGTGACTCCACAACCCACGACCTGGGGAGCTATGATGACTGTCACTGTCACACACGGAGAAAGTGCGGATGAGCACAGCGAGCTCCTGGCCCCGGGCAGCAGGGCTGAGCCTTTCACACCAACACCGCCGGGGCTGTGAGCTTCCCGGGGCTTCTCCAAGGCTTCCTGGGGACTTTCTAGATGGGCTGAGTGTTTATTTTCTTACATAACCAGCACTCGCTACTTCCAGAAGGACAGAAGACAACACAGCCCCTCCACCCCGAGAGCAGGATGCCGGATAAGCGCATGCTGCATTTCCCAGACTCCCCAAAGTTGGTCTGAACCAGGGGCAGGAAACGAAATGATCGGTTTTCCTCGATTTACAAGCCTGGACCCCACCCAGACGTGCGCATGCAAGAGCTGCAGGGCACCTGCTTGTCGCCGCCTCGGGGACACCTGTGACACTGAGCCTCTCGAGATGACGTCTTGCGCACGATTCATCCTCTGCCCTCCCATCACACAAAGTGCCACCCAGGGCTGTGTACTCGGAGCCCCAGACGCCGCACCTGAGGCTGAGGGGAGGCCGCAGATTCTCAAAGCCAGTTCCAACAGCTGGGCTCTGTCACCCTGAGGTGCTGGCTTATGAACACACGCCCCCACTGGGACTCTCCTCCCCCTGCAGGTCCCCATCGATTGAGAACACACAGGATTCCGACGGCTACCACACCCCACTGCCACCTCTGCCAGGGGACCTTCTCCCTCCTGAGTGGTCCCTGCCCAGACTGTGTCCCAGGGACCCACAAGGCCAGCCTCACTCCCACTGGGAACTCCTTGAGGGTGGGGCTGACCCCCTCCCGCAGGCTCCGCACGCCAAGCTGGGTTTGGAGGGTACAAAGTGGAGGCAACACCGTTCGGGTATCCGTGAGGGGCCAGCCTCTGGCCTGTGTGAGGGGGCCAGGGGCTTGCACATGGGCGCCTTCCTCTTCCTTTCCACAAGACCTCAGGCCGGCTTTCAGACAGCGTGCCCGGAGAGGCAGCGGTGGGGTGGGGCTCGCAGGGCTGCGGCACCACCCGGGCGCTCGGAAGGGCCCACGCTGCCTGCAGTTCTGAGTGCCGCACCCCTGCTGGGTGCCCCTAACACCACCGCGGCCGCCAAGCACTCGGCAGGGCAGCCACGGTACGGCTGAGGGCTTTCTGTGCAGGAACTCCTTTTAGCGAGACCCTCGACAACCCAGAGACAGGCACCGTTGGCCCTGAAAACCGACATGAAGACCAAGAGAACCAGACACCCAAAGCCACCCAGCCAGGCCCGCAGCCACTCTGGGAATCGCGGGCAGGCCTTTCAAATCACAGTCCTGTCACTGGAGGTCTGCCGTGTGGGGACAGGCCTGGGAGGCGTGAAACCCGGACACAGTCAGCCACCTGTGGGGCACGTGGGTCGGGGCAGTGAGAGATGCAAAGGCCTAAGGGAAGAGGAGTCTGTTTCTGACGGAGGTGCAGAGGGGTGTGGGAAGGTCCTCAGAGGGGGCAGAGGTAAGACCAGCACAGCAGTGACAGCCGCGCCAGGGCGGGAGGGACCAGGGTGCAGTGCAGGGCAGCCATGCTCACGGGCCTGCCGCCGCCAGCTCTCCTGGGAGCCCGACCTGGGCTCTGGCTCCGTGTACTCCCCTGACTCCGGGTGCTCAACTGTGCTCCTAGTCCAGGAGGGACCCTGGGCTGAGCCACACTGGGGACAGTGAAGAGTGGGGGCCAGGACAGACCTGGCCCCTCACAAGGATGGGGGTGGAGGGATACAGAGCCAGCGCCAGAGGGGGAGGACCCGGAGTGGTCCAGGTGAAGACAGGGGAGCCTCCAAGAGGCCCTGAGCCTGTGGAGGAAAGGAGCAAGGGTGAGTCAGGGAAGGCTCCCCGCAGGAGGGGGTGTCTGAGGGGAGCCTAAAGAAGAAAGGGTTCTCTGACAGGAAGCCAGGTGAATGACAAGCTGTCCCCCACGGCGCCCACGCCTCCCACTTCACAGGCACGCATCCCTGACCCCACCGTGGCATGCTCCTCTGCACGTGGCAGCTGATGAGCGCACCGCCGGCCACAAGCTCCTCCCTGTCAGGAACCGCGCCTCCACACCCCTGCTGCCCTGCACGGCCGGCCCACCAAGGCCCAGACCAATGCTGACTGGACAGGAGGCTATGCCGTGCTAAGGACAGTGCTGTCGCCAGGGTGAAGTGTGGTGGCAGCCATATCTTGTGGTCAAGCTGAGGGTACCTGGGCTCCACCCTGCAGGCAGTGTCTCTGGAACTGGTCCTGACAACAGCAGTCTGGACGCTCACACCCTCCGCACTCCCCAAGGACCGCCCCGACCTGGCTCCAGGATGAGCCCTGGGCCCAGCCCCATCCGCTCAGGGTGCCGGGGAGGGAACAGTGGAAAGGCTGGAGGACCTGCCTCATGGAGCCCGCAGTCGACGGGTGGGGGGGCAGGGGTCACACAGAAAAAGTATCTGAGTACGACTGCCATCGGGCTGGCCCAGAGGAGAGGGCGCTGTCAGAGGGCATGGGGGGGCCAGCCTTGTCCGGAGAGCTCAGGGAAGCCCTGGAGCTGAAGGAGGACATAGAGAGAACAGGGAGCGGGGCGGGCAGAGGCGGCCCCGACAGTGACCTGCACCGCTGAAGGTTGCTGAGACAAGCAGACGGGTCCCTGTCCTGGCACTCTAAGCAGGGGGTCCCTCTGGAGGAGGGAGGAGCTCTTCCTTCCGGCTCCCGCACTCACCTTCACACGCTGCTTCTTGTGCTGCACACTGTCCAGCTCGTCGTCCTCGTCGCTGTCCTCGTCCTCGCAATTCTGCAGGAAGGGGATCTGCTCCAGCACTGAGCCGCCCAAGCGCTCCTTCCCGTCTTTGCCTGCTGCATTCCTGCCCACAGCAGGAGGCAAAGCGGGAATTAGTTCTGCCCTGTGACAACGCACAGGTGGGGGTGCCGAGGCCCGGTGGCCAGAGCCTGGACGCATGTCCCAGCGAGCAGAGCCCCCCTGGCCCCAAGGAGTCTTGGCTGTGACTGTGCACAGGGCTTCAGCCCCAGTGGCCACCTAACAGATGCTCACCCAATTCACAGTCCTGCATGGACCGCAGACTGGGCCCAACCCCGCACAGAGCTCCCACCCTGGGTTCCAGAGGACCAGCCCCTAATCCTGACCACAAGTCTCCCATGAATGCTGAGTCAGGGGCGCTGGGTGAGAAAACGCCACTGACTCAGCAGCCCCAGGTCCCAAGTGTAGTTTGCACTTGGGGCAAACCACAAGTGCAGGCAGGTGAGAGACGGTGCCGCACCCGGGGGAAGGAGGACTAGTCGCTAGCAGTGCTCGGGCCCCGGGGCCAGCAGGGCCACGGCCGAGCCGCGCTCTCCTCGCGGACGGTGGCACTCCTGGCCCCACCTCCCGGTGCTGCCTCCAACTGAATGCCGAGTTGTAACAAAGGGGGGCTGCCAAACCTGACTCCAGAGCTGAAAGGGGGTGGAATTCAGATGAATGCAAACATCCTCCCTTCCCACCACTAAGATGGACGCTCTAGAGCAGAGTGTCAAACCCATGTTCACCGGGGGCCACACCAGCCTCGAGGTTGCCTTCAAAGGGCCAAATGTCACTTTAGGACTGCATAAATGTCACTGTTGTTAAGGAGGTGCCGGGCAGATAAAACAAGGTGGAGGGCTGGATTCGGCCCGTGGGCCTTGTGTTTGCCACCCGTGCTGCAGAGTCTCTGTCAACCGCCCAGGGTCTGCTGAGGGCCCAGGAGCGGGGGTTCCTTCCAGGCGGCCACACCGCCACTCTCCCCGCTGCCAGGACACCGCCTGGGGTTCCCTCCCACAGCACTGGCTGCCCCCCTCTGCTTCTCTGTGGTCCTCCCCACCCCAGTCAGTGCTGCTCCAGCCGCACGCACCCGCCCTGCAGCCAATCCCGGTTTCCTTCCCCTCCCTCCCTCCGCATCCAGTCTTTCAAGTCATGCCAACTCACCGTAAAAACCCACTGACCACTTCTCAGCCCTTCACCTACCTAACACCCCCCAATCTCCTGCGTCAGGCGTCCCCCAACGGGCAGTGGTGGGTCAGATGACATCACGCCCTGCTGGAAACCACTGGCTTCCCACAAGCCCAAAGTGGAATCCAAAGCTCCTTATCGCGGCCTGCGAGGCCCCATTTGATCTGACTCCTGAGATCTCGGCCTCACCACAGCCCACAGGCCCCACGTGCTCAGCCCACCGCAGCCTCACGGGCCTTTCCGCTGGGTCCCGAACGAGCCAAGTCTCCTCCCTCTCAGCACCTTCACACTTGCTGTTTCCTCTGCCCAGAACCCTCCTGCTCCAGCTGCCGGTGTGGCTCACCCCCCACTTCCCATACCCCTCCGCCCAACCGCCCCTCCACAGAGAGGTCCTGCCTGCTCACCTCCCCCACGGCGGTGCTGTTCTTCCCGTCCCTCTCTTACCACCACAGGGTTCATCCTGACGGACAGCATTACAGACAAGAGAAGGAACGCGAGCTCCTCCTGGGCCCAGGCTCTGTTTTGCTCCCCGCCCGCTCCCAGAGGGCGGAGGCCCGCAGAGCCCCGCAGCCACCCCCGCAGGACGCTCACCTCTTGATCTGCTCCTCGATCTGCTTCACCAGCAGCGACTCGCCTCCGCTGAGCCCCCCAGGGCCCAGGGTGGCCCTGGGGCCCCCTTCGCTGGGCTCCGCGGCCCCATTGAGCTCCAGTGAGCGTCCCAGGAGGGACCGCACGCGCTTGGACCGCATGTCCAGGATGGTGTCCGTGTAGCCCACCTCTTCCAGGTACCTGCAGGAAGGCAGAAGCAGGGCGGCTCAGGCGTGCTGGGGCGTCTGCACACGCTGTGGCGTGCGGGACGGACCCCTCCCCGGAGGGGCGGTGAAGACTGCACACCAGTGTGTAAACAAGCCTGCCCCTGGCCCCGCTGTCATCCCTTTAAGACGAGTGCCAGCGGCAGGGCCTCCACACCAGTGCTGTGCACAGACGCTTGCCGTGATGCTGTGCGGGAGGCACACAGGGGCCAGGCTACATGCCCCCCGACCCGGACGGGGAGACACATTGGTCAGTCACAGGAACGCTGGGCAGACGCCACATGAGGGAAACCGCCTGGGAAAGGTGGGCGCAGTAAATGGCTCAGCCAAAATGGCCAGTCACATGTTATGTACAATTCAAGTGTTTAAAAAAAGTGTTAATGGCCCAGGCTGGAGTGGCTCAGTGGACTGGGAACAGGCCTGTGAACCAAGGGGTTGCCAGTTCGATCCCAGTCATGGCACATGCTTGGGGTTATGGGCTGGGTCCCCAGTAGGGGGCGCGTGAGAAGCAACCAAAAAATAAAGAATTAAAAACAAAAAAAAGCGTTAGTGAGTATGAGAGTCTAGAACACACACAAGCACGTGGTGTGCTTGCAGAATGCCCCCCAAGGCCAAGACAGGTACAGACTAAAGAGCAGTCAGTGACCTCTGGAGAATGGGGTTAGGAATTTAGGAGGAAGTTTTTCTTAAAAAAACTTACTGATTAATTTTAGAGAGAGGGAGAGGAGGAGAAAAGAGAGGGAGAGGGAGAGAAACATCAATTTGTTGTCCACTTACTGATGCATTCATTGGCTGGTTCTTGCATTTGCCCTGCCTGGGGATTGAACCCACAACCTTAGTGTGTCAGGACAATTCTCCAGCCAACTGAGCGACCCAGCCAGAGCGAAGAGCTTTTCCAACGTACTCTAATCACTTATACAAATGAGCATTTATTACTACTGCAATTAAAAAACTGAAGCCAGCCCTGGCTGGTATAGGTCAGTGGACTGAGCACAAACCAAAGGGTCGCCAGTCAGAGCGCAGGCCTGGGCCGTGGGCCAGGTCCCCAGTTGGGGGCATGTGAGAGGCAAAGGACTGATGTATCTCTCTTGCACTATAATGTTTCTCTCCTCTCTTTCTCCCTGTCTTCCCCTCTCTCTAAAAGTAAATAAATAAAAATTAAAAATTAAAGCCAACTGGGACTGGTCTAAAAGCAGAAAAAGGGAAAAACCAGTTACAGGTATCAGTGGCTTCAAAAAATGCGAGACCAGAGCCCCCTGCTCCCCAGGTGGCTCCCTGAAAGCCTGTTACATGGCCCTGTCACTTTGGGCCCTGCCCCTCCCACAGCAGACAGGACCCCTTCGCTGCTGTCTCACTGCCTGTGCGGCACGTGTCTGAGACTCCCTGCCCCACCACAGGAGGAGGAGGGGAGCGTGGGGCGGGGAAGTCGGGCTCTGGGGGCAGACTGCCCCAGGTCACCCCTCGGACCCTCCCATTAGCTGTACAACCTTATGCAACAGACCCCACTCTGCACCTGGGTTCTCTCCTGAGAAAGTGACGGGGATGAGCAGCCACGCCCCCTGGGGACTGGGAGGGAGCGAGCCGGGTGACCAGCACGGTGTCAGGCACACATGGGGTAGCTGTGAGTGCCGCCGACTGCCACCGTTTCGTCGCTGTCACACAGGCTCTAAGTCAGCGACTGCTGTGCTGGACATTAGCTAAAGGAGATCAGAGACACGGACAAGCAACTCCCCGACGTCTGTCACACTGTCTAGAGAAACACCTCCAACAAAACACACAGGAAGGGGCTGGCCACAGAGAGCAACGGCCACTCATGTCGCCAACTGGTCAGTTCTTCAGACGACGCGCTGCAACCAACTCGTGTGGGAAGACATTCCCGACACTCAGCAAAGGCGATGCGCCACCAAACATGGCAGAGGGGAAGCGCCCGCTTCAAACACACACACACACGCAGACCCGGAAACACAGGTTCGGGGGATTACCGTGATTTCTGCCCTGTCTGTGTGCGTGTCCCTGTATTTCCCATATTCTCTAACACACACAAATCTCTTTGGTAGTAAAAAAAAAAAATCCTCTTAAAAAACAGAAAAGCGACAGGCACCTGGGGCTGCTTTCCCAGAGTGGGGGTCCCCCTCAGCTGCCTCCTGCTCCGAACCTTCCCACCCTCTGCCGGGTGGGCTCCACCCAGGCGGCGACAGCCCAGCTCTGCGGCGGCCAGCGGGGATCTTGATAGTTCAGTGCTCCCGGCGGGGACAGGAAGGGCTGTGAAGTCCTCAGGCTTATCTCCCAAGCCAGGCATGTCCCTCGGCCCCCTCCGCCCCCCTGCACACTCACTGTCGAAGCAGCTGTCGCCCCTCCTTCCACACCAGCGGGCTGTTCTCCAGGGTGACCGACTCCACAGGGCCGTTGGAGACTGCAGAGGAGAGAGAGGAGGCGGGCTGTCCTGGCCGGGGCACTGCCGCACACCCGTCCCCTCCCCCATGCTCCCCACCCTCAAACCCAAATCGGCCACTGTCAAGGGTCCTGCGGAGCCACCTGCTCTCCCGTCTGCGCTCCTCATCTCCTGTCCCCTGACTAGTTTGTCCCCCCAACCCTCTCCAGACCAAGCTCAGTTTCACCGCAGGAAGCTGGCCCAGTTCTCAGAGAACAGGCAGGCGTGACTGGGTTCAAGTCCGGCCTGGCCACGTCCCAGATGTGACCGTGAGCTGGTTAGCCTACCTATCTGAGCCTCAGTTTCCTCCGAGATATAAAGTTACTGATAGCAGTACGTACACCTCTTGGGACTGTTGTATGGGTTAAATGAGATCACCTGTTAATTTCACTCATCAAATATTTATTGTACCTCTGGGGGGAGGCGATATAAGGGGACTAAATAGCAATGGAAAATATGTAACAAAAATTATACTTAAAAAAGAATGTACGATGATAATAAATATCCAGGTATGAAAAAATGTGTTTACTGCACATCTGTCAGCTGCGCGGCCACAGCGCAGGCAAAGCCCCTGCCCTGGAGTCGCGCATTCCGGGAGGTGGGGTCTGACAGAGGGACGGCCACCACTATCAGCCCCGCAGGTGGCCCTGACAGGTCACTGCCGCCCCACTCCTCCCTCCCTGCAGCGCCTTCCCACGGCTCCGCTGGCGGACTGGTCCCTCTCCGAGGGAGTCTGCACCGTCGGGGCCCTGGGTGCCCGTCTCCGTTCCACGGAGGGACAGCAGGCAGCTGGCCTTCATCACCACCGTCAACCCCCTGTCCCCCCAGGGTCTCCGCACAGTACCCAGCACCTGGCAGGGCAGCCTGCGGGGGGGGGGGGGGCACTGAGAGGGAGCAGCAGCCCAGCGGACCCTGCTTTCTATGGAGCCCCCGTCTTGTTGGAGAGGCACACGGGGGGGGGGGGGTACCTTGTTCTGACAGTTCCGGTTTCTTCTCCCCCGGGTTCGGGTCTGTGCCAAACTTCAGTTTATGATATTTGGCCCTGAAATAGTAAACGAGTAACAAATGAGAGGCGAGAAGAGCAGACAGACAGCACTCACCTCAGGAATCCCAAAGCCCCAGCCCCCACTCTCCTACCCCTGGGGTGGAGCTCCCCCACAGGGCGCTGCACAGCGCCCACCCTTCAGAGGCCGGCAGACTGGGTTGCTACCCCAGCTCCAGGAGTCCTTCCAGACGTCCTCACCCTCCAGAAGCCCACTGTACCTACTAGGCTACTGGGAGGGACCAGACGATACGCAGATACGGGGCGTGGCACACAGCAGGCCACTAGTGTCTGACTGAATCCACCTACTACATCTTGCTCTGACCCCGATCCTAGACCCAGAGTGACAGGAGACCGCCTGAGCCCACCCCTCCCTCGGAGGACGGGGGCTTCGGGGGGCTTCCTGGGCCTCCCGACCCTCCCGCTGGGGCTGAGGACCAAGCAGGGGAGGCAGGCCCAGGGCCTGCAGGGCTCACCTCTCCTGCTTCAGTGCGTACTCTAACATCTTGATCCGCCGCACCAGGTCTGTCTTGAGATTCTCTTGCCCTTTCCTTTCTCCCTGGAGGAAAGCCACCTGTGCCTGGGGGCATGGGGACAGGAGACGGCAGGGCTGAGGCTCACTGAGGTGTGTCTCTCACTCACTCAGGGACGATCAGTGCCAGCCCCTGCCCCGACAATGACATGCAGCAGCCACTTGTTCGGGCGTGGAGACCCCGAGCCAAGGTTCAATGCAGCACGACAGGGCATGCTGGGTCTGCCCCCACAGTGCCCGCCATGTCACCCACAGCAGGAGAGCTGGGCCAGGCCTGTCCCTCCCTCCTGAGGAGCAGTCGGCTGGGGGATGAAGGTGGGAGGTGGCCCTGGGCTCTGCTTCCTCCCCTGCCCTAAGGCAGGTGCTGCTGGTGGGGGTGGCGTCTCACTGCTCCTCCCAGAGCATCTGTCTCTGGGAGGAGGGGAAGCTACTTCTGGAGTTTAGGGACAAGAGTGGGTGGCTCCACTTGGCTCCTGCTCCGATGCAAAAGCTTAACCACCCGCCTCCCATGGCAGGGACCAGTCGTCCCCTGGATTCTGCCCAGAACGAGGGAGACATGCCGCAGATGGGACCCGGGGCCCCTGCCAACCGCTTCACACCGTCTGCTGGCACGGACCGCCCCAGTCTGTCAACAGGCCTTCTGGAGACACTGGGCCGAAGGCCTGCGAGGCAGGATCCTGGCCCAACCACGTTCCGGAAGCCCTGCGCCAAGCCCTGAGTGTGGGCCCATCCCTGGCTTCTCCCCACGTGCTCCATGGCTCTGGGCTGGGACAGCCAAGCCCCAGGCCTGGCTCGGCCACTCACTTGCGGCATGATCTGAGGCAGGTCACCGGCCTTCTCTGAGCCTCCATTTCCCCTTCTACAAAATGGGGCTCACGAGAGTGCCTGCCCCTCATGTGTTAAGTTCTTCTCAGTCCAAGACCTAGCACAGAAGAAGGGCTAATAAATGCCAGCTCCCGCTTCCACTAGTGTCATTCTCTCCGTCCATGCTTTCACGACGCTGACCTGGGCACCGTTCTCTTCGGGAGTGAGGGTCCCTCCAAGACCCAAGCCCCTATCCAGCAGGGATGTCTGTGGCTTCCAGGCCTCCTGCCACCACGGGCAGCTGCACCCGTGGGAGCCGACCCCCGCGCTGCAAGTGCTTGCTGGGAAAGGGCTGCAGCAGCTCCCCTGGGAGCCCCCGGTCTGGCCCCAGACACCTTTTCCAGGTATTGCCCAGGTATTGCCTGGCTCCAGGAATGCCAGCTCCCAGCAGCCTCTCAAACGCCCACCCTCACTGCTTTCTCTCCCTGGGGCTCGGAGGGCCCTTATCTACCTGCCTGGATTCGTGGAGAGCAGTGCAGCCCTGCTACCACCCCTGTGCTGCCCCAGGGAGCAGGTCTCCCCCAGGCCTCCCCTCAGGCTGGCAGACCCAGGCACACGCTACGTACTGCCTGGCACAGGCTGGGGGCCAGGCGCACTCGAGCACCTTTGCTGGGGCCATAAATCGATGCGCTCTTGCTGGAGGGCAATCTCGCCAGACCTATAAAAATATTAAATGCACATTCCTTTGGTCCTAGCAGTTCTACCTCTAGGAATTATGGGAGCTTATCCTACTTGTAGGAATTTCTCCTACAGGCTTAATGGCAATGGTAGGCTTCCTTTTGAAAAATAAAAAGGAATAGTACATACGCATGTGCTGATATAGGACCAAAGTGTCTTTCGCTCATTCACTGACCCCCAAATATTCGCTGAGCCCCAACTCAGCACCAGGTGCAGCTGCCGACGGAAGACACAGCACGGGACAAGATGTGGCCGACAGTCCCGGGGGTGCGGGGCAGACACCAGGTGCACCACAGCACAGAAGCCTCATCTGTGTGTTCAGAGAATGGAACTTCTGTGCCCGCTCTCTAACACTTTCCTCTCCACATTTGAACCAACACGTACACACATCAGCATCTAAGGCCAGCCAGGGGGCTCACTGTGACCAGCAAGGTCTCCTAAGTCTGAACTTCTGTTCTTCGTGTACGTTCCCAGTGCCCCAAACCGACCCTGCCCATGCGGTGTTGTAGAGGGTGGGGGGAGACACGAAGAAGGCTGACCACCACCCACAAGCCTCCTCGCGGCCCTCCCTGCGCCCCGGGACTCCGGCGGGGGGCCTCCTACCCCCCAGCAGCAGTGCAGCCTGCTGAGCGCTACATCCGTCCGACACCCAGCAGAGACCGGCTGCACCGGGCCGGGGACCGCATGAGGCACGGGGTGGGGGCGACAGGGAAGACGAGTGGTTCCCGTCCCCACAGAGCTCTCCGTCCAGCGTGGGAGACAGGCACACAAAGCGACAGCCACCACTGCGAGTGACAGGGCCACCACGGGGGAGTGGAGATGTTCTGGGGGAAGGGATGCCTAACCCACTTCTGGACAGAGCAGTGATGGCCCGGCTGCAACTGGAGGGCCGGTGAGAAGCCAGCCAGGGCCCGGGACATGCTGCTGGCAGAGGACAGAGACGGAAGTTGCGCAGCGGACTTCAGGAACCCCCAAAAGCCAGTGTGTGCTCCCCTGTGTTCACTGCAGCATTACTGACAATCGCCAGGACTTGGAAGCAGCCCAAGTGCCCACCAGTAATGAGTGGATTAAACAGCTCTGGGACATCTACGCAACGGAATACTACTCGGCCGTAAAAAAGAAGGAAATCTTACCTTTCTCGACAGCACGGACGGACCTGGAGGGCATTACACTGAGTAAAATAAGCCAGTCAGAGAAAGACAAGTGCTATATGATTTCACTTATACGTGTAATCTAGTGAACAAAATCAACTAACGAAATAGGAACAGACTCACGAATACAGAGAACAGGCGGACAGCTGTTGGAGGGGAGCGGGTGGGGGGGCTGGGTGAGAGTGGTGAAGGGATTAAGCAAAGGCAAAAACCCTCCCCAGCGCAGACAACAGTGCCACGATTACCAGAGTGAAAGGGGGGCGGGGGAGGCAGAGGAGGGTGCGGCGGGGATGGGAGGACCGGGAGGACTTGGGGTGGGGAACGCATAATACAGTATAAAGACAATGCAGTATGGCATTGTACACTGAAACCTAAATAATTTTATTAACCAATGCTGCCCCAATAAATTCAATACAAGTTTTTTAAAAAGAACACCTAGAAGAAATCATAAAGAAAACTGAAAACTGAAAAGGCCACTCTGGGCACATCAGATCGTTACAAAGGTCACTTCAGCTACACTGTGGAGACCTGATGGCTGGGGGAGGGGGTGGGTGGGGAGGATGGCAAAGCTAAAGGCCGAGAGACCCATCGGAGGCAGCAGTCCCAGAAATCCCAGCGGCCGGCCCAGGATCAGGCCAGGGCAGGGCGGGGATGAGGGAATCTGAGGTAATGAGGAGGGACTGATAACGCCCCTTAACTTTTGTCTGTGGGGGAAGAAAGTGGAGAATCTCGGTCGGCCCACTCATCTCTGTGCTCCCCTTCCCAGATCTGCTGCAGAAGAGAGAAAGGAGAACCAGGACACGTGGTTGAAGTGTCCCAAGGTGGTGGAATCCACGGAAAGGGGCAGTGCTGGTGGGCAGTCCCTCCTACCCAGCAAATGCCAGCAGCCACCAGTGCCTGGTCCGCCAGCACCGTGGGGCTGGCAGGTAAGTGGGGGATCTGGAAGTTCTCTGCCCGCCAGACCCACCCACTGCCACTTCCCCCGGCCGGACTGTGAGAATGCTCAGGAGCCCAGAACCCTTCTGAGAAGCGGCTGCCGCCTCCCCTCCGGCTGTTCCCGCCCCAGCCAGGCAGCATCTGCAAATGAGGCTTCCCGAGGAGCTCCTCAGTCCTCCTGGGAACTGGTGCCTCTCTCTATCCCTCTGCGGGCCTCTCCCCATGGGCAGGGGTTCCCCGATGGTCTAATCGGGCCCTACGCCTCCCACACTTCTCCTCCCCAGGCTCTGGCATGAGTCCTCACAGGCCCTCACAGCCCCTGATGAGGCTGGAAGCGGGGAGGGATCAGCTCCACACCTCCTCCGCTGCCACCCCTCTCTCCACATCTGTCACCGCTCCTACGTGAATGTCCAATTCAGATTCCCCCAGGAGGGTGCCCCTGTCCCCAAGGAGCTCCCCTCCTAGAGGTGCCACGGACCGTGGGCGGAGCCACATCATGGGGTTCTCTGTGGCCTCCTGTGCAAACAGCCTCCTCTGTTAGCCTGGAAGGATCCAAAGAGCAGAAACCACACCACCTACTTCTTGGAATCCCCCCACCAGCAAAGTCTTGCTCAGTATCAGACCAAGTGCATACCACCGCCCTGCTCCAATCTGTGGGTGCCCCCTGGGAAGACCCCATGACGGGCTGCCTCTTCTGCCTTCCCACACACACTAACGGAGCCCTGACCACACAGCGGGCCCTGTGCCGAGAGCAGCTGGGCTGCTACTTGGAGAAAAGGCACACAGAGCGCACCAGAAAGTCGGTCACGGCCTGGGCCTCGGAGAACCTCACAGGAGTTGCTCCTCTGGAAGCCGAGCGCCCCCGTCAAAGGCAAGTCGAGACAGGTGCTTTGGAGGGAGTGGGAACGCGAGGCAACTTGGCAGAAAGAAAGTGGAGAATCTCGGTAGGCCCACTGCTCGGCCATGCCACCGGTCCACTCTGCTTGGCGTCACACAGACCACGCGGACACCCACTGCAGCCCTTTCGGGTGGAGAGCAGTCAGAAACCAGCCAAAGGCCAGCAACGGGGGTCAAACGAAATGAGTCACGATGCAAACACCCAGTAGCTATCAAAAATAAGAAAGGGCTCTCTGTGCTGATATGAAAGGGACACCAAGACATGTGAGTGTGTGAAAAAAGTCACAAAATGACCCATTAGTATGACAGTATGATCTCATGTCTTGCACACACAGAGCAGAACTCCTTTTACAGCAGTGACAGTTGGGGAGGAGAGTGGGACAGGGACCAGGGGGACTCTCCCCTTCCACATATACTTATCTGTACATGCAGGTCTAAGACCTGTGAATCTGTACTAATGCCACTGGACAAAAGCACAAGGCCAGTGGTGCAGGAGCCGAGACAGAACAGCCTGGCTGGGTGCCACCCACAAGTTCCTCCCAAGCTCCAAGAAGCCCACTTAGTGAGGGAATAAACACACATCTTTCCTCTCTAGTCTCCAAGATGACAGGCAGCGTGGAAGGTGCTGTCGGGCACCCTGGCACGGAGTTCCAGAGGCCGAGGCTCCATCCCAGCTCTGCTACGCCTGCGTGGGTGACCCCGGGAGGCCGAGGAGCTTCCCTGGAGCAGCTTCCCATCTGTGCTGGATGGCAGAGAGGGACACAGCATGGCCTGAAAGGCCACAGACAAGACCAGGCCTGCGGGCCACGGGCTGTGATCCTAGATAAACCGCCCACCCTCTCAAAGCTTGTATTTCCTCTTACTATTTTTTTAAGGGGGCAGAGGGAATAACATCATTTACTCTCCCAGACTGTCACGGGGATTAAATGATACCCAGTTGCTAAAGTGCTGAATATGCCCTGCTGGCTGGTGACTCAGTGGACTGAGCACCCGCCTGGGAAGCAAAGGGTCACCAGTTCAATTCCTAGCCAGGGCACATGCCTGGGTTGCGGGCCAGGTCTCCAGTTGGGGGCACGTGAGAGGCAACCACACACTGATGTTTCTCTCCCTCTCTTTCTCCCTCCCTTCCCCTCTCTAAAAATGAATAAATAAATTTAACGAGCACATAACACGTGCTCATTGAACAGCAGCTGCCCCACTGTTGCTGAGTGAGGGCAGTGACGCTGGCTCTGCCCACATAAGGGGGTACTAAGAATATCTGAGGAGCTGTATGCCAGGGAAGAGCTCAGAAGGAGAGAGTGGGGCACAGACGAGAGGGGCACTTACATAAGGAGACCCTCCCACCCCAACCCCAAGCCTCAGATAACGAAGAGCTGAGATCCCCAGTCGGGTGGAAGAATTGCCGGATGCTGTCCTTATTCATCCTGCCAACAAATTTCTAATTAGTTATTGATTCGGGTCCCCACCTCAGTTAGGGAGGAAACAGCCAATCAGAAGGAGAAAGACAGGCCTGCAGAGGCAGACACTGACTTCTACTAATAACACCCCAGCCGAGGAACCCCCAGACTCCTCTCAGCCCGTCACTGGGCCCCTCCAACCCTCACAACTCTGATGTCCTGGCTCCTGGGGACACTGCACACTTCTCAAGGTCACAAAACCCAGCCCAGCTCCTCAGTCTCTTCCAAACACCATCTCAGGGCACATCCCTCCTCCAAGCTACCCGCAAACCATGCGATCCTTTCTCCCCAGAAACTCTCACAAACACGCCTCCCCTTAGGATGCTTCTAAGATGCTTCCTCCGGATGCCTTCCTGCTCTACAAAATGCTCTCCCTGCCACCCCCCAGGTGCCCCGGTCTCCTCGTTGGACACGCCTGACACCCCCCTCCCCCGCCCACTCCAACTCAGGGTTCTCCACCTGCCGCCCTACACACACCTCCGATCTCAAGGCCACCCCCCTCTCTTCTCCACACCCCCAAACTGCAGTTTCTGCTCTTAAGCTCTTCCACAAACGCTCCGAGGGCTCGTCCTTGGGACCCCCTTTCCTGCAACTCGGTAGGTACACATGCCAGGGCTCCCCAAAGTTTCCTCCTGAGCGGGGAGGACACACACCATCATCCTGGAACCCTAGAGAGCCTCCTGTTATCCTCGGAGTCCGCGCACAGCCATTTTTCAGTTCCCTCCGTCCACACATCCCGAAACGCACCCCGTGTCCCAGGCTCCGTGACTTCCTCTCCGCACTCATGCCTAGTCCCGGCCAGAACGCCCTCGCCCTCGAGGGTCCCAAGTCTCCCCGCCCTCCCGGACAAGCCCCGACGCCGCATTTGTGGGACCACCCCCCCCCGACAGCCCATCAGCCTCCACCTCACACCCGCGCCTGGTCGGACCGGGGTGGGCGTCCCTCGGCACCCGCCGAGATTTTGCTCAGTCCCACACAAGACCCTCTAACAACTTCTCTCAGCACCCTTGGCTGAGTCCTCCTGGGCCCCCTCCAGGCCCCGAGGCCACTCGGGAAGCCGCCGTCCTGTCCGCTCACTCTTGCCACTTCCAGCGGGTTCTGGTGCCCTGAGCCCCTTCTCTCCGGCGGCCGCGGCCGGGCCCTCCCGTCCCCAGGCCCCCCGCCCGCCTAGAGGCGCCCCAGCACCCCCAGGACCCTCCTCCGACGGCCCCTTACTCCAGCTCCGGGCCGGTCGCGGGCCCCCCCACCCCCCCGCCCGTCCCGGCGGCCATTGCTCCAAGATGGCGACAGCGGCGGCGGCGGGTGAGGCCGGGTCGGGCCGGGCGGGGGGTCGGGGGTCCGAGGCGGCGCTCACCTGCAACTCGGCGCGCTCTGCCTCCCAGCGGGCCTTCTCCGCCTCGAAGCGCGCCCACTCGTGCTGTATGAAGTGGAGGATCCCGGGCAGGCTCAGGGGCTCCGGTCCCGCCGTGGGCCCGGGGCTACCCCCGCCGCCGCCTCCCTTAGTAGCCGGACCGGGCCCGGGGGCGGGGGCAGAGACCGGGACCGCCCCCGTCGGGCCCGGGCCCGCGCCCGAGCCGAGCGGACGGCAGGAGGAGGCGGCGGCGGCGACGGCGGCGGCCGCTCGCTCCTCCATCATGGAGGCCCCGGGCCGGCCCGCGCGCCCGCTGTGCCTCGCGCGCCTGCGCGGCCGCGCCAACGCCCCCCCCCCGCGCGCGCCCTCGGCGGGGGCTGGGTTGGGGGGGCGGTGACGGGAACGAGGCCGGGCGCGCGCTTCGCCCACCGGGGTTGACCCCGAAGGCGCGCGCGCGGGCGCCTGTGGGTGGGAATGGGCAGGAAAGGGGCGCGCGCCTTGAACAGTGAGAGCCAGACGCTGGGGAGGGGCCACCTTCTGCCCTCTTCCCACTCTGACCCCAAAAGAAAGACTAACCCTCTCTTGACCCAATACCACTTTCCTCAGCCATCACTGTCACTCTGAGATAAAGGGAGACCACCGGGGTTGGTTTCAGCCTTGGCCCCATCCTCACTGATTCCTGGCCCTGATCGGTTGTCATGGTAACCCCTCCCCAGCCTAGAACACCCCCAGGCTCCTTTCCCCTACACTTTGGGTGTCTATGGAGCCCCAAACCTCTCCGGTCCCTGCACCAGGAGGAGGTTACTAAGGCAACCTAGGTCCCTGGCGGTCCTTCTGCCCCTACCCTCATTGGTTACTATGGCAACCCCACCTAGCACTCAGGTGGAAAGGACTCCAGCCCCAAGGACACTGATTATTGAAGGAAACACCTCTTTCCCAACCCATCCCCCCAGCCACCCAGTTGGCATTACCATGGTAACCATCTCCCCTCCTTTCCAATGGTGGGAGGTCTGTGGACCAAACCAACCAGGTATTTTTATTTAGAGAAGAGGTTCTGCTGAGGAGTGTTTGCTGTGGTTACAGGGCCTGACCATCCCCAGGAAGATGAGGCACAGGCAAGGCCAAGCCCTGGTCTTACTGTGGTAACAGTGGCAGTCTCCCTTCCAGTGTTCCTAGAAACCAGACCCACAAAGGTAGGGGTGGTTTCAGACTGTCCCCCAGGATGGAGTGTGTCTAGGGAAGTGGTTGTCATGGTAATAGCTGCTGTCACTTCTAGCCCTACCTTTCAGGACACAGTCATGAGAGAGAGATGGTTATAGGTTGCTATTATAACTGACATCCTTCCCGCCCATTCCCGAGATGCTCCAGGTAGTGTGTGAATTCACGGGACTTGAAGAGGAATGATTCCCTGGCCTCACTGCCACTTTTGTAGGGTAAGATGAAATTGTGTTCTACTATGCAAAATTGGCTGATTTGGGGTTCTCTGGTTCTCCTTCCTCAGCAGTGCCGCTGAGCTGGACTGAAGCTGCCCCCCTGGTGTTCTCCCAGTCTGCAACGTAGGAGGTAAGAAGTCTCTCAGTGTCACCAGCATTCATGGGGACACTACCCTTTCTTTGTCCCCAAAGGCTTTCCCACATACCTCATCTTCCCTGCCCATCACATTCCCATTCTGCAGATGCAGCAACTGAGGCTCAGGCTAGATCACAGCTCAGACCAGGCGAGCCAGGCCTAAAGTGAGTCTGGATCCACGCACATTGCTTTGTGAGGAATGGAGAGACAAAGTCTCTTCTTGTCTTCTCCTCCCCTGGCCACCTTTCCTTAAAACCAGCCCCTGGTTTTGTCTGCCACGCCCCTGCTGGTTTCTCTTCCCATCTGTACATTGTTTTCCTGCCTGCGGAGGTCCCGCTCGTGGTCATCTCTTGTCTCTGGAACACAAGGTCACTCAATAAATAGCACAGAGGACACTCAATAAATAGCTCTGTTGAGTTATGGAGTTGAATTCATTAATGTGCCGTATTCAGCTTTGAAAGCACTGGTCCGGTCAGAGCTGGGGAAGGCTGGTGGAAGGCAGGCCCGAGGGAGACAGCAGAAGTGATCGGTCGGATTAGAGTGCGACTCTGGAGACGGCTTCTCGGGTCCAGTCCCAGGTCCATCACTTCCCAACTGTGTGACACTGAGGGAGTGACTTTGCCTCTTTGTGCCTCAGTTTCTTCATCTTTCAGTGCAGTCATAGCTAAGCGAGCGAACAAGTGAATATGTATAAAGTACTTAGAACAGGGTCAGGCGCCTCGTGAGCTGCTAGAACCGCGGAACCTTCAAAAACCGTCATTTCATCCGCCTTCCCTCACTGCGGGGGTTTTGCACCCTTACAGTTAAGGAAGCCAAGGCCAAACTTTGTCATGGTTCTAAACAGTTCCTTCCTCCGTCCCCCTCAGTCCCCTCACTCAGTAGGTGGTACCTCCCCATGGAGCCACCATACCCTCTGGTCTTTGAGGACGCAGTTTCTGTCCTCTGTCCTGCTGGGGACCCCCTGGCCCACAAGCAGCCGGACAGAGCACGGCAAAGCCAAGGTTCTGGCGCCCATGCCCTTGCGGTCTCTGAGCTGCGGGTCCCTTATCCAGACGGTCGGAGCCGCTCATTCATTCACTCGTGTTGGTGCAGCGCTGGCTGTGTGCCAGGAAACAGACCAGATAATAAACAAGATAAGTGAAATCAGTGTGATAACTACCAGGGGAGGAAAATAACTCAGGGTGGGAGAGAAGAAGAGTATGGGTGACAGGGAGGTGCATTTTTATATAGGGTGACCACAGGAAGGGCTCACTGAACAGGTGACATTTGAGCAAAGACCTGAAGGCCGTGTGGAGGAGCAGATACCTGCTGGGGTAGCTGAGCATTCAGGCGGGGTTGGGGGGTGGGGGTGGGGAACAGCCAGTGCTGGGACAGCAGTGGCCTGGGTTTATCTGAAGAGTGGCTTACGGTGGCTGGTGTGGCTGGAGCTGAGTGCGCAAGCGGGAGAGGGCAGGAGCTCGCACGGGCCCTCGTGCGCCACACTGAGGGCTTTTCCTGCGAGTGATTTCCGGCCACGGAAGGGTTTGAGCAAACGCAGGATGGGATCTACTTCAAATTCTAACTGGATCTCTCTAGGCTCTGAGTGGGGAACAGCAGGTAGGGGACAAGGGTGAAGTGACGATGACCCCTTTAGAAGATTCTAGAAGCATCTCCCGTGCTTCTATGTACCTAAGCTCTAAGATTCTAAGCTGTTTAAGACTCTGGAGACTCATAGATATCTTCCGCCCATAATATGAGTTCCATGAGGTCATGGGTGTTGCGTGTCTCCGTGTGTTATGTATCCACTGCTGGGCCCCCAGCCCTTGAAACATTGCCTGACGCGTTGCAGGAGTTCAGCAAGTGGGTGCTGGAGGACTGAAGATGGGACAATTCCAGGGTTCTAAAGATTAAGGAATTCTCCAAGTGCAGCTCGGATTCTTAAGTGGCATCCAGGTTGGGTGAGAGAAGATCAGGCAGGACTGGGGCAGGTGGAGAGGGGAGGAAGGGGTTCCTGGTGGGAGGGGGGCGGAGCAGGAAGGCCAGTGCACGGCCCCAGGCATGGGGCCACAGTGCAGAGTTCGGCTCCAGGGACCTGAGTGGGCTTCACAAACACACAGGAGCCCTGAGCCTGGCCACTGCTTTTTCACCGAGTGCATTTTTGGTGCCTCCTGTGCGCTAGGAGCACAGTGGTGATGGGGACAGCCTTGGCTCTGTGCTCCTGGGGCCGGTGGGGCAGGCAGACCCATCCCTAGACAGTGACGAACCAGAATGGGCAGGGCTGAGATGGGGGACCCCAGAGGGGGCCTCCGACCCAGCCTGGGGTTCAGGGAGGGCTTCCTGGAGGAGGGGCCGTCTGAGCTGTGCCCTGAAGCAGAAATAGGAGCTCTCCAGCAGAAGACAGGCATGGGAAAAGGGGCCCGTTTGAGAGGTGGGAGGAGACTCTTCAGGCAGAAGGAACAGGATATGAAAAGGATTAGAAAGAAGATCTATTTGAGGAAAAGCCCAAGGCGACCTAGGCATACACAGGGTTTGAGGAGGCATGGCCAGAGATGGGGCTGGGATGGCGCTGTGGGGGGCAGGGGTCACACAAGTCCTTGTGGGATGTTGTAAGAAACTTAAACTTTCTCCTCAGAGCACTGGGGGACTTCTGAGCAGGGAGGAAGATTCGGTCATATTTGTGCTTTATGAAGACCCCTCTGGCCGCCCCGAGGAGGGGACTTGGATAGGAGACTAGGGGAGGCTGGGTGAAGATCTGGGTGGACTCAGGCGGAGGGGGAACTATGGGGATGGGGGGCGCTAGGAAGATTAGCTGGGTCTCTGATGTCCCGCTCCCCGGGAGGAGCAGACACCTGTGAAAATCCATGGGGAACTTTTTTTGCATGTCTGCTGAGAACCTAGAGCATTAGTTACACCTCCTGGGCTGGAGCCCAGCCAAATCTTGGAGCTGTACTGGGGACCGGGAGACAGCGCCACCTGGGGGTTGCTTAGGAGCGTGGCCGGTGGCTGGCGAGAGGAGTTGCTTCTTTCAACGCAGCCCATTCAACTTAAAAGGACAAAATTTTTATTGTGATAAAATGCACGTAACAAAATGTATCATCTTAACAAGTTTAAGTGTATAGTTAAGCAGTATTAAGAATTATTCCCATTTTATATAAACAATCTCCAGAACTTTTTCATCTTGCAAAACTGCAACCCCACCCCCCACCTCAGCCCCTGGCAGCCACTGCTCTACTTCCTGTTTCTATTTACAAAACAAAACACTACTGGCCAACATAAAAATTGGGATAATTCTGATTTAAGAAAGCATTTCTAACTTTTTTAAGAAAGATTTTATTCATTTATTTTTAGAGGGGAAGGGAAGGAAAGAGGGAGAGAAACATCAGTGTGTGGTTGCCTCTCACATTGGGGACCTGGCCTGCAACCCAGGCATGTGCCCTGACTAGGAATCGAACTGCCATCGTCTGCTTTGCAGGCCCACACTCAATCCACTGAGCTACACCAGCCAGGGCTCTAACTTTTCTTATAAAACCAAAACAATCTGGCTGGCCATCGGGAGCTTGAGGACCAGATGGCACAGGATTTGAGGAAGTGAGCAGGGGGCAACAGGAGGGGTTTGGGGGCCAGGTTGGGGGCAGGGTGTGGAAGGGACAGGAGAGAGAGATCAGGGGTGGCTTCCTGGAGGAAGGAGGGCAGAGCAGAAGGCATGAGCTGGGCTTGGAATGGGGTCCTGGGCGTTTATCAGTGAAGGAAAAGGTGACAACGACTAGAAGGACAGGACTAAACTAGGAAGAAGGGAAGGTGACTCATCCGACAAAAATTCACTGAGTAGGTAATGTGTGCCTGACTGTGCTGAGTGGCCTTGGGGACCCAGCAGTGACCAAGACGGGCTCCTCATGGGTCTCACAAATGGGAGCATGAGACGGATCCCTACACAGTGATAACTTAGAACGGTGGGGTTAGGGTGGGGAAATGGAGATGGGGGGATGGGGCACTGAAGGAATCTGGAATGGGGTGCATGACCCAGCCTGGGAGGTCAGGGAGGGCATCCTGGAGGAAGGAAACCAAACAGGGAAGAGGCTGAGAGAGAAGGGTAAGGCCGAGGATGGGTTGGGGGCGCTGCTGACAGCCAGCTCCAGCCTCCCTCCCCTCTCATTCCCGCCTCCCCAGGATGTCCCGGAAGCCCAGCTAGGACCTGAGCTCGGCCCCATGCGGCTCACCCGCTGCCAGGCTGCCCTGGCCGTCGCCATTACCATCAACCTCCTGGTCCTCTTCTATGTCTCGTGGCTGCAGCAACGGCCCAGGAACTCCCGGGCCCGGGGCCCCCGCCGCGGGCCTGCCGCCGGCCCCCACGTCACCATCCTGGTGCGGGAGTTCGAGGCCTTTGACAATGCGGTGCCCGAGCTGGTGGACTCTTTCCTGCAGCAGGACCCAGCCCAGCCGGTGGTGGTGGCAGCAGACATACTCCCCTACCCGCCCTTGGCCCTGCCCCGCGTCCCCAATGTTCGCCTGGCACTGCTCCAGCCCGCCCTGGACCAACCTGCCGCTGCCTCGCGCCCCGAGACCTACGTAGCCACGGAGTACGTGGCCCTGGTGCCCGACGGGGTGAGGGCTGAGACACCAGGCCAGCTGGAGCGCATGGTGGACGCGCTCCGGGGGGGAGGCACCCGCCTGGTGGCCGCCCCAGTTGCCTCAACCAACCCTGCTCGGTGCCTGGCCCTGAACGTCAGCCTGCGGGAGTGGACAGCGCAGTATAGCCCGGCCCCTTCCGCACAGCGCTGCGACGCCTTGGAAGGGGACGCTGTGGTGCTCCTGCGCGCAAGAGACCTCTTCAACCTCTCGGTGCCCCTGGCCAGGCCAGTAGGCACCAGCCTCTTCCTGCAGACAGCCCTGCGTGGCTGGGCAGTGCAACTGCTGGACCTGACCTTCCCCATAGCACACCAGCCCCCCCTGACCACAGCCCATGCGCGCTGGAAGGCGGAGCGCGAGGGGCGCGCGCGGCAGGCCACACTTCTACGGGCGTTGGGCATCCGCCTGGTGAGCAGAGAGGGCGGACGCCTCGAGTGGTTCGGTTGCAGTAAAGAGACACCTCGCTGCTTCGGGACCGTGGTGGGTGACACACCTGCCTACCTGTATGAGGGGCGCTGGACACCCCCATGCTGCCTGCGCGCGCTGCGTGAGACAGCCCGCTATGTGGTGGGCGTGCTGGAAGCGGCCGGAGTGCGCTACTGGCTGGAGGGTGGCTCCCTGCTGGGGGCTGCCCGCCACGGGGATATCATCCCGTGGGACTACGACGTGGACCTGGGCATCTACCTGGAGGACGTGGGCAATTGCGAACAGTTACGGGGTGCCGAGGCCGGCTCAGTGGTGGACGAGCGCGGCTTTGTGTGGGAGAAGGCCATAGAGGGTGACTTCTTCCGCGTGCAGTACAGCGAAAGCAACCACCTGCACGTGGACCTGTGGCCCTTCTACCCCCGCAATGGAGTCATGACCAAGGACACGTGGCTGGACCACCGGCAGGATGTTGAGTTCCCCGAACACTTCCTGCAGCCTCTCGTGCCCCTGCCCTTTGCCGGCTTCATGGCGCAGGCCCCTAACAACTACCGCCGCTTTCTGGAGCTCAAGTTCGGCCCCGGAGTCATCGAGAACCCCGAGTACCCCAACCCGGCCCTCCTGAGTTTGGCAGGAAGCGGCTGAAGCTTTGACTCACGCGCCTGCAGTCGGGGGAAATTGTCCTTTGTTTTTGGTGTCACTGGCATTTGGTGAACGGGCCGGGGTTGCCAAGTTGTCCTGCAGGGCCCAGCACAGTCCAGGACATCCAGGTTATGACATGCCCAAGATTTCCAGGAACCCCCGGCTCCAGGGCTGGGACAGAGTTTTGGAAAGAGAGGGAGAAAGAGCGTAGGTTCTGAGGTCAAACTGCTGCGATTCTTAACTAGTGAAGTGGAAGAAGTTCCACTCTGGGCGAGCGTCCGCGTTTCTAGGTTCCTTATTGCCTCCTCCGCACCAGGATTCATCCCTGTAAAGCGCACAAAGAACCCCCAGGACACCTGGCTGCTGGCGTTGCGTCTACCACTAGAGGGCGCCTTTGCCCTACTGTGGGGCCAAGGGGACGTAAGCACGGACTTCTGTTCCATAGCCTTTTTTGTCTCTTGAGCCTTTGGTCTTCTCACTAAGCCCCTGCACCAGGCTGGACAGGATAACTAGCTCCCCTTTTTCCAGAATGCGACTTCCTTCCCTCCTGGGAGAGCCCGGTGCGGTGCATGCTGCTCTTAACTCATCTTCGCAGAGGAGGAAATGGGCTCAGAGCTCTGAGGCGCAGGGGTTCCGAGTGAGGTTCTGGATCGAAGCCCCGCCCCTTTCGAACTGTTACTTCATTATTTTCTCTACACCTGGTTCCCTGCTTGGAAGATGGGGTCAACAACAATCACTGCTGACATTTACTGAGCACTTACTATATACCAGATACTGCTCCCGGTGTTTCACACAGACTAACTGATCTCATACCTCTCCTCATCCCTCCCAAGTGAGAGCTGCTATTATTTCCATTTTACAGATGAGGAAATGAGGCCAGAATGGTAAAGTCCTCTGCCCAAGGCCAGTGGGAAGTGGCAGAGTGGGGACTTGAACCCAGGCTGTCCGTCTGGGGCCCACTCTGACAAGGCCTGGGTGCCCCACCCAATGCTGCTACCAAGAGGGCCTCCTGTCACTCACGGAGCAGGAAAAGCGATGGCTGCCTTTTTTCTTTTTTTTTCCTTTCTTTTTTTGGTGATCATGAACCTAAGAATAAATACTGTTTGGGCATTACTCCAATATGTGCATTTACCAATGATATACAGGTACCACTAGAGGTCTGTATGTTAATGATGACTTAAATTATTTCATTTTTAAATTAAAAATCAATACAGAAGTTTTTGTGACCTTGCCTCAACCCAGCAGCTTGTCACGTACACCCTCTGGGTTGTGCGCACCTGGTTTCTGAAACCACAGGCTCTGAAGTGGGAGGCCTGGGTTCCCATCCCAGTGCCTCGGCTTCCTCCCACTACAAACCAGGCCTCAGTGACGCTCCCTCTCTGCGTCTCTGCCTCCCACCTGGGAAACAGGAGTAACGCGCATGCTCCCTACACCGGAGCGCTGTGAGGCAACGCAGTGGTGGGGAAATCAGGGCAGCGTTTGGATTCTGGCTTGGCCACCTACTTTCTTCGTGACCTTAAGCAAGTCACTGCCCCTCCGACTCTGTCCATTAGGTGGGGGGATTGAAGTGTGGAGCCCTCACAGAAGGGCCAGCAAGAAAAGACATACAAATTTGGCCCAATCTCCTGAGCCTCAGGTGTCCAAAGCCTGACTTCTTATAATGCAGCCTTGGACCTTAACGCACAAGAGGCTCGCAAAGACTGTCGGGTCCCCATCTGCAGAGCATTCTGGGAACGTGGTGATGATTGGGCATCACTTGTGGTTAGGCGGTGCTCTTGGCTTTGGGAAGGCATGGCCCATGGATGGCGGATGTCTTATAATACATAAAGGACATCACACACAGTAGTGTCCCTGGTCACATACCATTTTCAAATGTCCCCCTGGAAATTCATGAAGTGCAGGTGATGTTTGAAGTGTTTTTGCAACTGGTATGGGAATATAGAGTAATATATAAATCAATATATGCATCAGACATTTTAAATGTTTCTTTTTAATTCTAAGAATTATGAAAAGGATCTGTCTATAGAGTCATATTTCTTTAAGTTATTTACCAAGAACATAAGTTGAAGCTCAACTCGTTCTTAAATTATTTAATAGTTTTCTTTTATTTAGAAATTGATGTGATTTCTTAATTGACACAGCTATGTATATGTATATGCATAAAATAACATTTCATATATATATATATATATATGTATCTTGTCTTAGCCGTGATTTGATAAGGGAACCATATCAAATGCTTCTAGCAAATTCCCGTTAAATTGCAAATCATTAGGTGACTTAAGATTTCAATAGATAAAGAATTTCTTAGTATCAACCGTAGTGTTTTGGTGTTTTCTCCTCTTATCACTGTTTCTGAAGCAATGGCAGTTACATTAAAAACTTTTTTAATACAGAGGATCGCCGTTCAATTCCCAGTCAGGGCACATGCCTGGGTTGCAGGCCAGTTCCCAGCAGGGGACGCACGAGGCAACCATACATTGATATTTCTCTCCTTCTCTCCTTCCCTTCCCCTCTAAAGATAAATAAATAAAATAAAATAAAAACAACTTTTCTGACCCTGAGAATAAAAAAACTGAAAAATTTAAAAGACAAACCCTGGTGGATGTGGCTCAGTGGGTTGAGCAAACTGAAAGGTCACTGGTTCGATTCCCAGTCAGGGCACATGCCTGGGTTGTGGGCCTAGTTGGGGTGGTGTGAGTGGGAATGGATCCATGTATCTCTCTCACATTGATGTTTCTCTGCCTCTCTTCCCCCTCACTAAAAATAAATAAAATCTTTAAAAATACTTAAAAACCAAAACCAAACTTCTCTAACTCTTATACCATCTGTTAGTTTTGTATAGTCAATACTTTATTATCAATTAAGTAATGATATGATAGAAAACAAGTCACAACAATTGACTTGAACTAATGAGTTTATGTTACAGTTTGTATTTTTTTATTTTTTAAATTTAGTTATTTTTCAAGTAGAGTTGTATTAATTTTTAAAAATATTTTATTTATTTATTTTTAGAGAGAGGGGACAGGAAGGAGAAAGAAAGGGAGAGAAACATCAATGTGTGGCTGCCTCTCATGCATCCCCTGCTGGGAACTGGCCTGCAACCCACGCATGTGCCCTGACTGGGAATCAAACCGGCGACCCTTTGCTTCACAGGCCCATGCTCCATCCACTGAGCCACACCAGCCAGGGCCAGAATTTGTATTATTAAATGTCACTGCTTTCTCAATTGTCCTCATACTATTAATCAGCCAGAACAGAAGTATTTTAGTGTTTTAAACAGCACACCTGTCCTCATTCATGCTAAGCAAACTCTAGCCTTACTTGGAAAAACCTGGTTAAGGATGATCCAAGCCCAGAACCTAACTCTCTTCTCAGGCAAACAGAGTCTTTTTTGTAAGGTTTTAATAGGTTCTGAATATTCCAGGAAGTGCAACTTCCATGTAAAATCAGGGAAGCCTGTATGGTGTTTTGCTCAAAATTTGGCCAAAGATTGTCAACAAGTTCAGAAAATCATATTCTGCACGGCTCTTGCTAGTTAGACATCAATAGCGTGTGTCTCCAGCCGCGCTGGGAGCTGCCTACACTTAGGTACAAACATCAGCTGCCTCCTTTGGTCCTGGGGGTGGCTCCACATGTTCCCACATAGAAATGCGTGTTACAAATTACTGTTCTCTTACTTCTCCTTTTTGTTGCAGTTAGAATAACATAGCGCCCTGGCTGGTGTAGCTCAGTGGATTGAGCGCAGTCCTGCGAACCAGACAATCGCCGTTCGATTCCCAGTCAGTGCTGGTGCCCTGCAGGCCAGTTCCCAGCAGGGGACGCACGAAGGGCAACCATACATCGATGTTTCTCTCCCTCTCTCCTTCCCTTCCCCTCTAAAGATAAATAAATAAATAAAATCTTTATTAAAAAAATCTGGGCATGACTGTACATTAAAAAAAAAAAGAACTACATAGTGATTACAGAGAAGGTTGCCTCTCTCACGCCCCCAGTGGGGGACCTGGCTGGCAACCCAGACACGTGCCCCAAGTGCGAATCAAACAGGTGACCCACTGGTTCTCAGGCCGGCGCTCCATCCACTGAGCCACACCAGCCAGGGAGGGCTAGTGATTGTTTTTAAAACCACGTGCAGTTGGGTTATATTATCTATGAAGTTTATTTCAAGAGAACCGAGAGGACTTTCCCAGAGCTGCCGTTCAAGCCAGCACATGCGCTGATGCGGCCATGAGGGAGGTTGAAACGTGAAAACTTTAAGCTACTAGTAATCCATTGGTAAATGGTCACTACCACCTGGCGCTCCCTGGAGCCCCCTGGACCTCCCCCTGACCCCGTAGCCACAGGATTAACACTGGACACAGTGGGAGCGAAGGGGGCCCGTGTCCCAGGTGCTGCTGGGTGGGACCACACACGTCACAAGCTGTAAACAGGTTGTGTTTAGTCCCGTACAAACCGTGAGCCATGGAAAGTGGGTGGCATCCGAAGGCCTGTGTTCAAACGCACCTTCACGCACAGTTGCCCCAAAATGGAAACCAGCATTAACGGTGTGTATATCCAGACCATGGAATAAGCTTCAACAATGAAAATGAAGGAAAATAAGGAATGAACTGCTGGCCCCGTGCGAAAAAACAGCTAACGCCCAAGAGCAGCAGGCTAAGTAAAAGAAGATAGTTGCAAAAAGCTACATACTGTGATTTGTGGCCCGGAGCAAAGTGGTGGCGGCCTGGGCCTGGGGGTGGAGGGAGGCAAGGTGGCAAAGGAGCCCGTGGAAAGGTGGGGTGGTGGGGATAGCGCGTCTCTCGGTGGTGGTGGATGTTCAGGAACGCACACGTCTGTGGAAACCCATCCGAAAGCCTGCTTTAACAAATGCGGTTTATTGTGTGTAGCCTCTGCCTCATAAGACTGACCTGCAAAAAGCAGGTGCGGGGAGAGTGCAGCAAAGCCTAGAAACACTGTTGCCAGGAGAGACAAGGCTGAGTCGTTCCCCTGTGCAGGCTTGCCACCCCCCCCCCCCGGGGGAACTGCCACTCAGAGCCTAGAACCCGGGCCCCAGTGCAATCCAGGCCCCCCCCCCCGCAGCCCTCCCCCCGGAGCCAGGATCCTAGGAAGGAGCAGGAGGTCTGTCCCAATAACCAGAGGGTGGGACAGTGGAGAAAAGGAGAGGAAGACGGGAGCCAGGCCTGGGGAGGCGTGGTCCAGGGGCTTTTTCTTCTCTTATGTAACCTGCACCTTCGGGTGAGAGGTAACCGTCATCATCACGGGAGGGCGGGACTCAGCAGCGCCTGCCCCGGGTTGCATAGTCAGGCAGGCAGCAGAGAGGGATCTGAACCGGCCTTCCAGCGCGGTAGCACCGGCACCCAATTCACTGAGTGCCTACTATGTGCCAGGTACTGTGCTGTGCCCTGGGCCGACAGCAGCGAAGGGGACTAAGGCTGCTCCCGCGACCGGATGTGGGAGTTGCCTAACCACCCCCCCCCCTTCACGCCGCCGCGTAAGCTTGAGGTGGTCCAGGTCTGTCTCTTCTGCCTAGATCAGTGTTTTAGGCAAATTAATGGCATGTGCTCAGCAAGAAATGAAGAATGGAACAAAAAAAAAGTGGCTCAAGACTGTGCTGGAACTTGGCCCAGTTACATATTCCTTATACGTACACATATTGTATACGAAGACAGTATATGCAAAAAAGCACTAATGAGACAATTTGGCGATAAAGAAGGATTTTAAGCAAGGATAATAATGCATTCATTTGCTCCCAGCTCCCTCCAAAAACTCCACCGATTTCCTCAAATATTAAAACACTCTTAAACACTTCTACAATAACCCACCAAGGATTTTGGCATAACAGAAAGCATTGAAAAAAAAATTACTTAACCACTCAACACTTAATGAACTCATTAGTTGACTGTGTTTGTACACAATACGCGTTTGCACAGCATCAGATAAGAGCTGTATTTCCACACTGCAACAGTCTTGCGGGCAACAAAGCTGGAAAAAAAATGATGCTGAAGGTCATCAAAATACTACCCACTGCACGCGGACTGGAGGAGCCCCCAGGCGCCCGGCAGAAGTCTGCACAGGGGCCTGGGGCGATACCATCAGCAACGCCGTGCAGGCTCCGGTAACACAAGTCAGGATCGCGTGGGAACGTGCGAGCCGCAACTGGTCTTGTCCCAGCCTGGACTTGTGCGGGACTCAAAATAGTTGCAAAGCAGGCTCTGGATTCAAACAAAAGTTTGGGTTGAAAGCGGGAGGGGTGGGGGCGGGAGCAAGTCATTATGGGAACTATTTGCGGTGAGAGTTAGGATACTGGGGGCACCCGCGTTCTTGCACAGGTGGTTACAGTGGCATTTCTTCCCATGAGTGAAACAGCATCTTTAACTGGAAGAGAAGAGACGTGGGGTCAAGGGCACTCAGCTTAAGTGTACGCAAATGTTTGCGTCTGTGGGAGCACTGCCCATATCAAGACACAGAACATGTCCTGGCTGGAGTGGCTCAATGGATTAAGTGCGGACCTACAGGCCAAGGGGTTGCTGGTTCAGTTCCCAGTCAGGGCACATCCCTGGGTTTCAGGCCAGGTGCCCAGTTACGGGTGTGCAAGAGGCAACCACACATCGATGTTTCTCTCCCTTTCTTCTTCCTTTCCCCTCTCTCTAAAAAATAAATAAAATATTTTTTAAAGTTATATCAAAAGTTTCAATGACCATGATTTTTTAAAAAATGAGAATAAACCCAGTCAGGGCCCACGCCTGGGTTGCAGGCCAGGTCCCCAGTAGGGGGCGCACGAGAAGCACTGATGTTTTTCTCTCTTTCTCCCTCCCTTCTCCTCTCTAAAAATAAATAAAAATAAAATCTTAAAAAAAAAAGACACAACGTTTGCTGTGTCACCTCCCAGAACAGAAGCTTCTCTCGTGCTCCCTCTGGATACAGAAGTGTCCCGACAGGCTACTACTCAGTGCTCTGTTCTCTCTCACCACAGAGTGGTTTGGCCCGGCCTCGGCCTCCATATAAATGGAACTACACAGTCCATGCTGTTTTTGGCTCCTTTCACTCAAAATAGTATCTGTGAGATGCTGCCAGGTTGAGTACAGTTGACTCTTGAGTAACACATGGTAGGAGGGGTTAGGGGTCCTGCTCCCCCACACACACAGTCAAAAAACCAATGTATAACTTTTGACTCCCCCAAAACTTGAGCTTGTCTCTCAGTATTCACAGTGGACTGCTTCCAGGATCCCCTTGGGCCACTCCAAACCTGGACGCTCAAGTCCCCTCCACACTATGATTAGAGACAGAGCTCAGCGCACACAGTAGGCCCTCCACACTCACACTCACCACCGGATCGAAACAGTGGAGGTATTTATGGGGAAAAGTCCATGTTGTCCTGGCTGGTGGAGTTCAGTGGGTTGAGCGCCAGCCTGTGAGCCAAGGGGTTATGGGTTCAATCCCCAGTCAGGGCACAAGCCTGGGCTGCGAACCAGGTACCCAGTAGGGGGCGCTCGAGAGACAAACACACATTGGTTTCTCTCCCTTTCTAAAAATAAAATCTCTAAAAAACTGCATGTAAGTGAACCTCCACCATTCAAACCCGTGTTCAAGGGTCAACTGTTGCTTCAATCCTTGCTTTTTCTTGCTGACTAGCCTTCGACTGCACGAATAATTGTCCCAGTTTATCCAGGGACTTGTGAATGTTGGCAGTTATATAGACGGCAGATGTAAATTTTATGTACTGCCTTTTGTGTAAACATCAATTTTCATCTCTCCGGGATAAATCCCTAGCAGTGGTTACGGGGCTGTCTGGTATGTGCTGTATATTTTAACTGGACATGAGTGCCTAGCTACTTTCTTTTATTTGAGAAAGGAATCTTGCTTTGCTGTTTCACTTATTTGTCAGTAACTAACTCTTCTACATGCCCTGACGTGGGATTGAATTGGCAACCTCTGCGTATCTGGACGGTGTTCTAGTCAACTGAGCAACCCCGCCAGGGCCTTGCCTAGCCATTTTCAGGAGTGACCGGACCATGTGACATCGCCCCTAGAGATGCGTGAGCTCTGTCCAGCTGCCCTACACCCCCGAGAGCTCGTGGTGTGGTTTCTGTGTGTTACGCTTCCGGTAGGCGCGGACAGTGGCATCTTGTAGTGGTTGCCCGGGGTGTGCTGATAGACATTTCCATGAAGCGCAATTTATCCTGTTTCTTGTTTGTTTCTGTGTGGCTAGTGCTTTCAGTCAAATGCCTAAACACATCTGATTCGACAGCCCTGACCATTTTATTGCTAAAAACTGTCCTTTGGAGTGACAGCAGTATTTGTTGTCAGTTTGCCCTACCCAGAGTTCCCTGACGGGTGGGATGTGCCCTGGAGTCACAGAGCACACATGCATGTCTCTCTCTCTCTCTCTCTCTCACACACACACAGCTATAGACACCAACACAACCAACAAAGGAGCCAGCACATGGTGTCCTTCCTCTCAAAAAAGGCAGAATTCCACGTGGTGACCTGTGCTCCTGCCCTGAGACGGGGCAGCCCGGCAGGCTCCCAGGAGGAGGTGTGGAGGACACTACTTCTCCATCTTCCTGTTTCCTAGCCTCAGATCAGGGTAAGAGTCAAGGAGCGTGGGGGGAATTGGGGGCGACATTCACACTCACATCCACATATGTCCCAGCAGCGAAGCTCCCAGATCTGGGGTTGGGGGGGCAGTGTGAGCCCCCCCGGCTCCCCGGAGTGTGTGGGCGGGGCCCTCCGAGTCCCGGTTTGTCCGTTTATTCACCCCTTGGGATCCAGTGTCCAAAGTGCCCCCCCATCAGGGCGGGGAAGATCCTCACTGGCGTTTACATGACCGATTCCTTCTCGAAGGTGCTGGCATCCCCACCGGGTCCTGGGAAGTGTTTGAGGAAGGGATTTGCCTCCTCAGCGGGGACCGGCAGCGGGTCCAGGGGCGCCTCGCTCTTTATGTGGATCAACTTGGGCACCGAGTTCCGAGATTGAGATTCCGTCCGATTCACGTAATGTTGGAGCAGTCCCGCCCCAAAGGCATCACCTTCCACGTTGAGGACGGTGCAGGACCGGTCCCTGAAGGCAGGGGAGTGACGAGGAAATGAGTGGGAGGGGAGGAGTCAGGGCCAACCCCTCCCCCCAAACGTGAAGTCCCCTCCTCCCCCCGGATCACTCCCTCCTACGCAGAACCCTGTTCTACGACGCCAGACCCAGGTCACCCCTCCTTCCTCCCAGGATGCCAAGTCTCCCTCCCTCCTACCTAGATCCTCAAAGACCTCTTTATCGGGACCCCCTACCTCCCCCCGTTCCCCTGGAATCCGAAAGTCCCCCATCACATGTGCCAGAAGTGTCCTCTACCCCGACCCCCAAAGATCTCCTCCTCCCCTGTGGGACCCCAGGGGTCCTTCTCCCAATAAAACAAGATTCGTCCCTTCTGGAACCTCAAAGTCACCTGCTCCTTTTCTTGGGGCCCCTCTTCTTCCCTCTGCCACACTGAGTTCTCCTGAGGCCTCCCTCCTCCCCAGGACCCCAAGGGTCTTCTCTCTGCTCTCAGCTGTGTGTGTGTGTGTGTGTATGTGTGTGTGTGTGTGTGCGTGTGCAGATGTGACATTCTGGAAAACGGGGCTACAGTCCACACACCATAAAACCCACCTGTTAAAAGCACACAGTCCCGTGGTTTCCCGTGTGGTCAGTCTTGTGTGACCATCCCCACTATTTCATTCCAGAGTGTTTTTATCGCTCCAAAGAGAAAGACCCACACCCACTGGGCGGTCACCCCCCATTTGCTCCCACCCACCGGCCCCAGGCAGCCGCTAATCCCCTTCACGTAGGTTTGCCCGTCCTGGACATTTCACAGAAATGGAACCACGGCCTGCGTGGTCCTTCCTGTCTGGCTTCTTCATCCCGTTTTCAAGGCTCATTCACACAGTGACACATCTGTGCCAACGCTTCATTCTATACAGTCCATCACATGGACAGGTGGCATTTCAATGATCTGTCCGTCGGCTGATGGACACTGGAACATTTGTACCTCTTCACTATTATGAACAGTGATTCTCAGAATAATGTCCTAGGAACCTGTTACACAAGTTTTTGTGGACTCGATTTCAACTCTCCTGAGTGATGTTGCTAAGACACATGGTGACTCTACTTTAACTGGAAACCAGTCTGTTTCCAATCCCGTATGTTCTCAAGAGCTTAACTGCGGCAGCTAACACAGCATTTCCTGCTTCCTAGAGGAGCCTAGAAGGGAGTTGCAGGTACAGTCACCTAGTGCCAAGGAGAGACCATTCTTTCCGGTTTACAGATGGAGACAGAGGCAGAGAGAAGAAACACTTGCCCAGGGTCGCAGTAGCTATAGCTGTGGTGCCTGGGGTTTGAACACTGGCAGCCTGTCCTAAGAGTCCACTTTGTGACACTCGACCTTGCTGGCGTTCTTTTTAGAAGTTCCAAGATCCCTCCCTTCCCTTCCACTGGAATGCTGGAGGTGCCACTCCCTCGCTGGCAGGATGCCTGCCTCCTTCTCTTCAACCACCCAGAGACTCTGGATGGCCCTCCTGCTCATCCCCGACTCGGGGAGTGCCTCCGAGCCCCCTGAAGCCCCAAACCCCCACTCACACTAGCCAGTCCACGGCCAGGATCAAGGAGATGTCAACCGGTAGGTTCACTGCCTCAAGAATGATGGCCAGGGTGAGGACACCTCCAGCCGGGATGCCCGCCGCGCCGACGCTGGACGCTGTGGCCGTAAGCCTGGGGGAGGAGAAGAGGGGTCAGGGAAGGGTCTCCATATGGGAGAAGCCACCGCAGCAGCCCTGTTCCCCCCGGGCCTGTGTCCATTCTCAGGGCAGGGGTCAGCTGGGTCAGGGGTCCTGGCCACAGCCAGCCCACACTCACAGGATGGTGATAATGTTTACAAAGTCCAGCGACGCCTTGTAAAGCTGTGCAAGGAACACCGCGGCCACACACTGGAAGAGGGCGGCGCCGTCCATGTTGACAGTGGCACCGATGGGCAGGATGAAGCGGCTGATATGCTTAGAGACGCCGTTCTTCTCTTCCACACACTTCATCATCAGCGGCAAGGTGGCAGAGCTGCGAGGGACCAATATCTGAATGAGCTCCACCCACCAGGCTGACCCCGCCCACCACAGTCCCGCCCACCCACCTTGCCCACATAGCCCCGCCTCCCTGGCCCAAGCTCCACCCACCAGCTTAGACACGACCATCCCCAGGCCTCCACCCACAGCCCTCCCAGTGATCCAAGCCCTGCTCTCCCCAGAGCCAGAAGGTACTAGGGATCCAGCAGACTCCAATCATTCCAACATGTAGGCTCCCCAGCAACCTGCTACTCAAAATACACACAAAAATTCGTACCTAAATCCTGTAATGTCTGAGAGCTCGCCTACTCTCACCATCTGCTATCTCCACAGATAACAGACCCCAGCTGAACTTTCTTGGGGGTGCTGCTGCAGGGAAGGTCCCCGTTCTGAGGGAACGGGGCCAGCAGAGATACCCAGAAAGAGGGCAGAAAGAGCTCCCAGAGCCAGGATCCAGTGTGAGGCGCCAGAGTCCCCCAGGGCCAGGCTGTGGCGGGGAGGAAGAAATCTCTCTAAGGCCATCATTTTTCTAATTTTAGGGAGGACTGGGTGGCGGATGGGGGGGATAGATCTAGGACCTTATGAAAAACTTAGGAAAGTCCGGCCTCTGTACCCAGACCCAAAGTCCCCAAACACAAAAGTTCAGGGGTCTTCAGACTTGCTATTTCCACTCCAGGCCCCTTATAACTTAAAAATCCCACCCTGGTGGGTCTGCCCCAAGGTCACACCTGGAGGAGGTCCCGAAGGCAGTGACCAGCGCCGTCGTGATGCCCCACAGGAAGCGGTAGGGGTTCTTTCGAGTGAAGAGGAAGTAGATGAGAGGCAGCACCACGAGCCCGTGAATGGCGTGGCCCAGCAGGCAGCACAGGATGTATTTGCCCAGACTGGTGAAGAGCATCCCCACGTCCTCCATCTCCATGATCTTGCTGGCCACCAGGAACAAGATGCCCACAGGGGCGTACCTAAGCACCCAGGAGACACAGCAGCCCCTGACCACATGCTCACCCAGAGAGGGCATTGAGCTCTGCACGGCCTCCCTTGGAATCAATCAGGAGGCGCCCAGGGCAATGGGTGCGGAAATCCAGCACCTCCACCACCCTCCCCCTGCTCTCTCCCTGTACAGATAGTATAGTCAGAGGTAAAAGGAGCCTGGGGACCTCCATCACCACTTGGGAGTACAGCCACCAAGCAGATTTGGACTTTATTTACTGAACCACACCAGCCAGGGCTGAAAGCTTTCGAATAATTCGTCTATAAACTTTAGCACCCTCTCCTGAAGTGCAGACCTCCGGGGTTACTTATGCCTCCCAGCCAGGAGGCTGCCCAAGACTGCTTCCGTGACTGCCTGGTTCCTGTGACTGGTTCTCACAAACCCCTTTCCTGTTCGGTAAGAAGGGCACCACTTCCCAGCCCCCTGCGCCCCTGGGTTTGGCCAGATGCCCACGTTCTGGCCAGTGGGATGTGCCAAGAATTCATACAAGTACTTGATAAATATTAGCTAATACTGTTTTCTGTAAGTGTGCTGTAGGTCGGGCACTCTCCCAAGCGCTTTATTTGTATTAACTCATTTGTACCTGGTCCGATCAACCCCACTTTCCAGATAAGGAAACTGAGGCACAAAAGCATCAGTAACTTGCAGGGCACAGCTAAGAATCGGCCGTGCTGGGATGAGAACCCAGGTCACCCAACAAAAAAGCCTGCTCTTACCCACACATCATGTGCCCCTCTGGCAAGGCATTTTCATTAGTGAAGACGCACCTGATTCTACCCTGACTGGTGTGACTCAGCTGGTTGGAGCTTTTGATCCCTGGTCAGGGCATATGCCTGGTTTGTGGAGTCAGTCCCCAGCCGGGGTACACACAAGAAGCAACTGATTGATGTTTCTCTCCCTCTCTTTCTCCCTCCCTTCCCCACTCTCTGAAAATAAACAAATAGAATCTTTAAAAAAATATTTTAATTATTATTTTTAGACGGGGAAGGGAGAAAGAGAGGGAGAGAAACATCAATGTGGGGCTGCCTCTCACACGCCCCCTACTGGAGACCTGGCCCAGCAACCCAGGTATGTGCCCTGACTGGGAATCGAACCAGTGACCCTTATGGTTTGCAGTCCACTGCTCAATCCACTGAGCTACACCAGCCAAGGGAAATAAATAAAGAAAATCTTTTAAAATATGCACCTGGTTCCCACACAGCTGCTTCTTAGATGCTGGCTGCACTGAAATCGGGATGGGTGAGGGGGTTGGGATTTGTTAAAGATGCAGCAATCCTGGCCCCGCTCCCAGTTTGACCTTCTAGATCACGATGAGAATGGAAAGGGGACAAGCGTGGAAGCCAGAGGCCTCTGCACATGTTTTTGTCTTATGAAGGTCACTTAACAAAGCTCATAGTGGGAATGGTCTTCGCTGATATTACCGAACTAAGCTCGGTGAGCGCCAGGCCTTTAAACCACCTCCTAGGTGCGCTTTTTTTTTTTAACCTATTATTGCCCCATTCCCTTGTTTCATCTCCATGATAATCCCTACAAAGCAGGTACAATTTTGAGATCCAAAGGCAAATGTTTGATCACCTTCAAAATCTCTAAAACTGAGCCATGTTAGCCACAGCATGCCTCTTTTTGTCACCTCCCAGTAAGATCAAGAAGGTGCCAAGAGAAAAAAGTAAAAAAAAAAAAAAAATGTAGCACTGTCCTCATTTGATAGATGAGCAAATTGAGGCACAGAGAGGACAAGTCACTTGCCCAAAGTCACACAGCCAGGGAATGGTCGATGCTGGATTTGAATCCAGGCCACCTGGCTCTATGAAGCAGAGGAAGGGTCACCTCCTCCCACCCCTCCAGGCCCCTCCCACCACCTACCACATGATCCAGGAGACCAGCACCATGGTGGCGTCATTGAAGGAGTTGAAGAAGCGGATGAGCGGCTCGCCGTCCGGCCCCAGCTTCCGCAGGGCCAAGCCAAAGGCGATGGCAAACACCACCAGGCCCAGGATGTTCATACTCTCCACCTGTTCCCCCACAGGCTTCTTCGGGCGGGAACAGACGGAGACAGCAGGGGGATGTCCAGTCAGTGTGCGCAGTCACTGAGGGACTATCTTGGGCAGCGCTGGGGCCCGTCCACTCAGGCCCCTCCCTCCCAAGGCTCACTGTCCAAGTCCAGGGGAAATAGACCTGTGGCCAGGGACCACCCAGTGGGAGCAGAGTTGAAACTGGAGTGGAAGGGTTGAAGAGGAGTGTGGGAACCGAGGAGAGGGATGCCAGCTCAGGGGTGTGAGTAATCCGGGAGGGCTTCCTGGAGGAAGAGTCTGAGCCCTGGCGAACAGGAAGCGTGAATGAAGAGAGATGGTAGAAGGTTCTAGAGAGAAGAAATAACTTGCAGTAGCCTAGAAAAGAGAGCAGCGTGGGCATTCCAAGAGCAGAATGAAATCCACAGTGGCTCTGGGAGGTAGCAGAACAAGCGGGGCAGAATCACAGGATGAGACTGGGAGGGCGAAGGGGCAGAGGCCCGACAGTGCCTGGGCTTTCTTCTGAGGACGCGCACTGTGGAGCGCGTCGGGGCTCTGTGCAGGGGAGAGGCAGGGTCAGGTTCGTGCTTTGGAAAGACTGCTCCAGCCGCCAGGCCTGGGGCAGGTCAGGGAGAAGGCCTGGTCAAGACAGGGTGCGGGGGTGGGGGGGAAGAGGAGCCTGGGTCAGAGCAGGCAGTGGCCCGGCGGGGGGGGGGGGGGGTTGGAGAAGAGAGGCCAAAAGGGAGATTCCAGAGGGGCAGAAAAGACAGGAACGACCACAATGATGGGCCAGGAAATGGGGTCTCCCCATCCTCCTCCTCTCACCTTCACCTTGGTTCCATTGGAAACGTCCAAAGAGCCAGGCCCCTGTGTGGTAATGGGGGAAGAAAAGAGGTCAAAAGGGAGATTCCAGAGGGGCAGAAAAGACAGAAATCGGGGAGGGGCTGCACGGAGTTTCAAACAGACAGTGCACCTCATGTTGGACGACCCCGTGGGTAAGCCAAGACTGGGGTGTCCCCCCACCCCCATCTCCCACTCTCACCTCGGTTCCATTGGAAATATCCTCTTTGTAGATGGTGTTGTACTGCAAGAGGGGATGGGAAGGGTCTGTGTCGATGGTCCTTGAGCACCCCCCCGCACCCCATACTGGTACCCACGATGCTCAAAGGCTGCCCCAAGCATGCCTCTACCCATCATCTCGTTCCGTCCCACCACCAACCCCATGACGACTAGGATTATTCATCTCCCGTTTTCCGGAGGCAGAAACCCAGGTTCAGAGAAGTAAAGGCGCTTGCCCAGCACCACACAGCTAGAATGGGAGGCCGGCAGGGGCTGGGCTGGGAGCCCATTTTCTCATCTCTGGGTAAGGCGTGTGGCTGGGTTTCAGAAGTCACCTAATAACCCTGCAATCCCGCCTGTAAATACGTGGACAGGTGCGTCCAAAAGCAGGCACCAAGGGGCTCTCACTGGCTGTCTTCCTCCCTGCCCACCTCCCACCCCTGGGCCCCCCCCTGAGGACTCACTGAGCGGAAGGTCGCAGACACCAGGTTGTCAGGGAAGATGTTTCTGCAGAGACATACATGGGGGCGCAGGAGAGGTCATTAGGTCCTGCCCAGGGAGGTCAGGGGGTGTCTGCTGGGGTGCTGAGGTGCGTTGGTCTCCTGGGGTGGGGGGAGCCTTGGAGGTCCCCTCTGCACCCAAATATGGCCACCACCCGTGCCTCAGCCAGGTTCGGTCGGGCAGAGGTGGAGTAGCTTGCACACGTTTGCAGAGCGTGAGGGGCCTGAGCTGGTCTCCTAGGGCCCCAGAAGGCTGGCGTCCGGGGCCCAAAGGATTGAAAAGATTGCAGATGAGGCGGAGGAATGGTGGCTTCCCTCAGGCAGGTTGCGGCAGGGTCACCGCGGCCCTCAGCTCCACCCTCAGAAACAAACTTCACACCCTGGACATCTTGCATCAGCCACTTCCTCCTGGAGGACCAGGGAAAGGGCAGGCTGCCTCTGGGGGCTGGCTGGTGGGCGGGGAAGATCTGGGTGCTGGGAAGAGGTGGGGAGGGAGGGAGGGAGACAGGAGATGCTGTGTGTGTCATGAATATGCATCTGTGTTCACGCGGCTGCAGCGTCCAAGGGTGACTCAGTGGGCAGCCGAGTGAGTGAAACCCACAGAGGATGTTGGAGAGCCGGCCATCAGCCCTGTGTCTCAGGCGGAGAAGAAACTAACACCGCATGTAGCTACAGGCGCCGTAATAAGTGCTTTGCATCAACTCCCGACAGCCCACAGGGATGAGCACTATTATCCCACTTTACAGAAAAGGAAACCGAGGCACAAAAAAGATGAAGAAACTTGCCTGGCTAGGAAGTGGCAGGCTGGGGTTTGAACCTAGCAAGCTGGCTGCACAGTCCCCCCCCCCTCCTTCTCCCCTGGTACGTGGGCGTACAGCTGTTCTGTGGGTCTCCATCCACTTTGCCAAGTGTTGGTACCTGGTCGGAGTGAGGGCTGGCGTTCAGGCAGGTGGGATGCTGTTGTGTGCACAGAGGGGGGAGAATGTATGCGCTAAACGGGTGTGAGTATCCAGCAGATACACACATGTCACAGCTGGTGCAAGCCCAGTTGTCAGTGTGCCATGTCGCGGCCGTGGCTGAGGGTCTGTGTGCCTGTCAGTTGATTATAAAGTTTGTGTGGCTCGAGATATTTCAGCTAAGGCAGGGAGCGGCCCGCCACGTGTGAGTTCTATCTGTTCTGGCACGCGGGGCGGGGCGGGAGCCTGTACAAATATAAACAGCCTTGGGCAGGCGGGCTTGTGCCCACCCAGGCCTGTCTCAGCTAATCTCCCCCAGCCAGGAGGTGCCCACCCACTGCAACTTCTGGGTGAAGTTTCCCATTTCAGGAGGCAGGTACTAAGGCCCCAAGACGCTGGGGGAACCCAGTTCCGTGACTCATCATTTCCTTCCACTTCCAGGAAATCCCCAACCAAGATGGAAACTCTGATTCAACAGTTCCCAAAGCAAAGCCATGTGGACCCAGCTGTCTGTGTCCTCCTTAAAAGGGGGGAGCGCCATTCTTGGGGGTAGGCAGACAGGAAGCAGAGACCAGAAGGAAAAGAATCTGCCCCAGTTCTGGGCAGCCTGGTGGGGGAGTGGGGCACAGAGGGAGGAAATGGAACGGAAACTGGTTGGAGGCAGCAAGACTTATCAGGAACACGTATGGGGAAGCCATCGGGGCCCAGCAGAACTGGGAGGGGAAGGGAGGCTGAGTAGGGAACCTGGCTGTGTAGGCAACTGGTGGTATGGACATCCTGGGACAGGGAAGGGGGCTTGGTGGGGATCACTCAGCCCTCCTCAGGTCCTCCACGGGTTGCAAATCTATCCACGACCTAGACTCAACCTTTGTCCAGAAACCCCATCCTGGAGCCCGTGGCCGCCCAAAGACCCCCTTGGAAACCCTCAGAATCCCCTCCCCTCAGAGGAGAGTCCCTCTTACCTCTCCCAACCCCGCCCCAGAACATTACTCTCCCCTCACTCTGTAAGACTTCCTCATCGCCCTTATGAAGGAAGGGTTCCCCTTATGTCCCCAGGCCGCACATTTTGGAGCCCCCTTCCCCGTAGTCTGTCCTCACCCTCTGTACCTTGATCCTTGAGGGACCAGAGCTTCCCCCACCACCCCCTACAGGGTGTCCCAACCTTTTGGCGTCTCTGGGCCTCACTGGGAGAAGAGTTGTCTTGGGCCACATACTTAAGTACACAAACACTAACACTAGTGAAAACTGATGACCAAAAACAAGGTTTTAAGTAAATGTACGATTTTGTGTTGGGCCGCATTCACAGCCATCCTGGGCCGCACGTTGGACACCCCTGCAGTGAGATTTCCTGACGCCCTGGGGATGTCCTGGTTCTGGTGGACCCTAAGCCTCCTCCCCACCCCGCCCACTCCTGCTTCTGGTCCACGTGGCCACTCCCGCCATTCCAAACACCATCCCCCTCCCCACGTGGCCGAAGTATGCTCTTCCCCTCCTTCCCTCCACCGGGGAGCGGGGCCTGACCTCACAAGATCCAGGAAGGAGTCCAGCACCTCCTTGCTTTTGATGCTTTTGGTAGGATCCGCATCCTTGACCGAGGCCTCGATGGCAGCGCCGGGCTGCAGAACCAGCGCCAAACCCACGCCGAGCGCAGATGCTAGCAGTGTGGTGACCAGGAAAAAGAGCATCGCCCAGGCGCCCAGGCGGCCGAGAGAGCTCGGGTCCAGGCTGGCGGCGCCGGCGATTAGGCTGCACACCACCAGCGGCAAGATGATCATTCGCAGCATGCGGAGCAGCAGCTCGCCCGGGAAGGCGAAGGCCGCCAGACGCGCCTGGCCCAGGGCTGCCGTGCCGCCGGCCCCAGAGACCCCCAGGCCCAATGCCACGCCCGCCACCACGGCCACCACCGTCAGCAGCACCAGCAGGTTGGCGCGAAGACAGCTGCGCACCTGGTCGGGGGAGCTGCAGCAGCGGCCTCCTGCCGTGCCTCGGTCCTCTCTGGGGACGGATGTTGAGACACTGTTCGCAGTGGGCTCTGCCGCCACCAGCAACTTGGTGTCTCCTTTAGGGGGATCGGCCACCATGATGAACGCCCCGGGGTTCCTTAGAGCCTGGATGCTGGGAGCTCTTGGGGCTCCTTCCCAGGACGCGGACGTTGCTTAGAACTGAGAGTTGAGTAACAGCCTGGAAGCTGGAACTCTGAGGGTTCCTCGGAGTGTGACTTCGCAGCGCCCAAGTGTCTGGCTCTTGGAAGAGGGAGTGTCTGAGCTCTGTACTGGGCGCTGGGACTGCTCTGCTCTCCCAGGCGGTGCTCTTCCTGGCCTCCGAACGCTGAGAGTTGGGAGCCCCCGGGTTTCCTAGCCCCGGGAGGGGGGAAAACGGTAGTTTCTCAAGCTGGGACCTGGGGTCCTTGGCTCCGGAGAGCTGGCGGCGCCAACGCAGCCGTGGTCTTCAAGAGGCGAGGTCCTGGTGGCGCAGATCCCGGACGCCTGGATCCGGGAGGCGGGGAACGGGAGTGCCTGGGTCCTGGAAACGGAGCTCCGGGAAGAAGGGAACCAGGTTCTTGGGTCCGAGAAGGGAGGTCCAGACCGCCGAGCGCGTAAGGCGTTGGTCCGGGAATCCCTCGGATGTAACAGCTGTCAGTGCGGAGGTGCCTTCCCGAGCGCGCGGAGTGACTCTCAGCACTTTGGCGGAAGCTGCCGAGGAGAATTCTGCGAGCTGAGCCCGCGGGGGGGCGTCGATCGGAGCGCGCCGATTGGCTGCTCCGCGTTCCGCGCTCTCGCCTGCGGTGGAGCAAATGAGGCCGAAGCCCCGTAGATGGTAGAATAACAACGGCGCCTGTATCCGGGGGTGGGGCTTGCCTGGGGAACTGGTCTGAAAAAGGAGGGGCGTTGGGGAAACGCTCTTTCCAGCCAAAGGAGTTGGGCCTCGGTTTGGGGCAGTGAATCCTCGATGGCTCCCAGGGGCGGGCGAGGTTCTCTACAAAGTGCAAGTGAGGCCCTGGCCGGGTAGCTCTCTCAGGCAGAACATTGTCCTGGTATGGCAAGCTTGCGGGTTTGATCTGGGGTCGCGTACAAGAATCAATGAATGCATAAATTAATGGAACAGCAAATCCATGTTTCTCTCTCTTTCTCTTCCTCTCTCGCTCTAAGCCCGATAAATAAAACTTTTTTTTTTAAAGTACAAGGGACCCGCTAGTGGCTCGTTTGAAAATCAGCTCCGCCTGAAACTCCTCCTTCCCCCTAAATTCGCTCTTTTAAAAAATATACGTATGTCGTTTATAGATTTAGGAGGGAGAGCAAGAGAAAAACACGAGTTTGTTGTTCCGCTTATTCATTGGTTGATTCTTGTGTGTGCCCTGACCCCTGGGACTGAACTCACAACCTTGGCCTCTCGGGACAATGCTCTAGCCCACTGAGCTCCCCGCCACAAATTCAGTCTTTAAAACGAGATGTTATTTATTTATTTTTAGAGAGAGGGAAAAGAGAAAGAGGGAGAGAAACATCAATGTGTGTGACAAACATCAGTCATTCACCTCTGTACATGACGGACTGAACCCACAACCTTAGGCGTATGCCCTGACTGAGTGGGAATCAAACCAGCGACCTTTCACTTTAGGAGGGGGTGACAGCCAATCGGGCCACACCAATCAAGGATATTGTCATTATCCTTGAAGAACGCGGTTTGGGCCCAGATCCGAACAGAATGGGCTCCGCACGCCACTGGGCCCTGGTCGTAAGCTCTCCCTGCTGGTTCCGAGACTCAGACCTGCTTGGGAAGGATCTCTGAAGGCTGGTGGTGACATCCTGCCGGATGTGAGGCACCGGGGCCAGGTGGAGCTGAGAGAATTTGCCCAGGTGACTGAAGGACCCACCACTCAGGCACCTGTGGCCTTGCGGGCCTCCTTCCTGTGCCTCTCAGACACGCTGCCCTCCCAGATCCTCCCAACCTCGACAGCATCTACTTCAGAAAGTCCCTGTCTCCCATCCCACCCTTCTAGTCTAACATCATATATTCATTTAACAAACTCACGTTAAACCCCAGTGAGCTTGGCTCTGAGCTAGATGCCGAGAGTGTGGGCCCTAAACCCACGCAGACATGGGTGCGAATCCTGACTCTGCCACGGACCCGCTGAGCACCAGTTGCCCCATTTGTCCTAGAATCAACGTGAGTGCAAATTCCGTTGTGCACACAGTGACCCTCCAGACAAAACACAAAGGGGACAATGCCCAGGCGCTCTATTCATTTGACAAACAGTCCTTGAGCCCTTTACTCAGGGCCAAGGTACAGTTCAAGGTGCTGGGGATTCTGCAGCGAGAAAAGAATTAAACATCAAAAAGAACTTTGCTACATTTTAGTGAGAGGAAACCAGGAAATCAACTTGGGCGCCAGGTGGGGAGGGAACTGAGGCAGCTAAAGTATTGAAGGCAGACAGAGGGAGGGGTCACAATGACACCTGAGGGACATGAAAGAACCTACCAAAACTGCATACTAATGAAAGGGAAGAGAAATGCAAAGCCCCGAGGCAGCAACAGGATACACCCTTCTCTTACAACCAGGATCCTTTAGAAGTCGCTCTCCCAGTTCACTAATTTAGATGCAGATAGATACAGGCAGTGAGGCCCCTTGTGGCTCCAAACCCCTATCTGGGCAGGGGATTTGAATTCAGGTGTCTCTAACCCCAGCCTGAGCCCTCAACCCCTAGAAGACCCCACAGCTGCCCCTGCAGTTGGCTCCCCGCCAAGCAGAGACATTCCCTTCAAGGGTCCATCATTTATTCCGAGCACATCACTGGTCCCTGTGATGGGGGGGGGGGTGCCAGGTATCCAGCGATGACCAAGCTTGTCCCTGTGCTGTCCTCGAGGGAATCACCGTCTGGAGTCGCACAGAGTCCCATCCCCAGACAGTGCTGATGCGGAGTGTGGGATGGGGCAACCCAGAAGCGGTGCTTGACCCAGCTTGGAGACCAGGAAGGGCTTCCTGGAGGAGGAGACATCACAGCCGGAGTAGGAAGGAGTTGGAGGAGAATTCCAGACAAAGGGAACAGTATATGCAAAGCCACAGACTTGAGAAGAGCCCCGCCCCGCAGCCCCAGTGACTGCCCGCAGGGTAGAGTCCAAACTCTTCAACCAGGCCTCTGTCAACTCAGTAACACATTCCTTCAATCGTTCACCAAACCACATCCACAAGACAGAATGCTGAGAGATGTCACGTAGACTGAGACAGTAATAAATCAGGTGGTCAAGAAATAGTCAAGGGAGCCCTGACTGGTGTGGCTCAGTGGTCTGGGTGTCGTCCTGCAGGGAGAAAGGTTGCCAGTTCGAATCCCAGTCAGGGCACATATGTGCCTGGGTGGTGGGTTCGGTCCCTGGTCGGGGAGCACACGAGAGGCAACCGACTGATGTTTCTCTCTCACATCAATGTTTCTCTCCCTCTCTTTCTCCTTCCCTTTCCCTCTCTCTAAAAATAAAAGTAAAAAAAGAAATATTAAGGGTGAAAATACAGGTGCAGGAGAAGGTGCATAGGACAGGGCACCATGTCCTCGATGGGGGCGACAAATACAGTCCAGCCTTTCTCTCAAGCGCATTGACTATCTACAGAGAACAAACAGATGTCGCTAGAGGCGACTGGAGTGAGGGGCTGTGTGGAAAAGACGAAGAATATTTTAAAAAGTGCAGCCCTGGCTGGTGTAGCTCAGTGGATTGAGCGCAGGCCTGAGAACCACAGGGTTGCTGGTTCGATTCCCAGTCAGGGCACAGGCCTGCGTTGCGGGTCAGGTCCCCAGTAGGGGGCGCACGAGAGGCAACCACACACTGATGTTTCTCTCCCTCCATTCCCTTCTCTCTAAAAATAAATAAATAAAGTCTTTTTAAAAAGATTTCGTGGGTCCCCTGCTGGGAACTGGCCTGCAGGGACCTGGTCTGCAACCCAGGCATGTGCCCTGACTGAGAATCGAACTGCGATTGTGTGGTTCGCAGGCCCGCACTCGATCCACTGAGCTACACCAGCCAGGGCTTTAAGTAAAATCTTAAAAAAAAAGAAATGCAAAGTTCTCGTGATAGAGTAAGTAACAGGGATGTGAAACGCAGCACGCGGAACACAGTTGCCTGGGCAACTGCGTGATGACCATCTGCAGTGACAGGTGGTTAGTGCACCTTTTACAGGGAACCCTTTGTAAGGCATATAAATGTTGAACCTAATGTACGTCCAAAACTAACATCACCTGGTAGCTTAACTATATTTAAAAAGGCATTTTTTTAAAGGCATTGACACCCTGGCTGGTGTGGCTCAGTGGACTGAGCGCCGGCCTGAGAACCAAAGGGTGGCCGCTTTGATTCCTGGTCAGGGCACACGCCAGGCTTGCAGGCCAGGTCTCCAGTCCAGGGCGTGTGAAAGGCAACCAATTGTTGTGTCTCTTCCTCTCTTTTTCCTTCCCTTCCCGTCTCTCTAAAAAGAAATAAAATCTTTCTTTATAAAAGGAAGTTCAATTCGATTTCTTTTCTTTTTTTTTTTTAAGATTTTATTTATTTATCTTTAGAGAGGAAGGGAAGGAGAGAGGGAGAGAAACATCAGTGTATGGTTGCCTTTTGTGAGTCCCCTGCTGGGAAGTGGCCTGCAGGGAAGTGGCCTTGCAGGCAACCGGCCTGCAACCCAGGCATGTGCCCTGACTGGGAATCGAACCGCGATTGTCTGATTCACAGGCCCGTGCTCAATCCACTGAGCTATGTCAGCCAGGGCTTCGATTTCTTTTCTTTAAGACAGGAATCTTTCATGCGTTCCTATAGACACATACACACAGACCAGGGCAAAGGGAGGGTAGGAAGCCCCAGGTAGGGCTGGGACCTGGCTGCTGGTTTCAGGTGCCGCAGCAGCAGGTGGCCAGGCTGGGCGCCAGGCAACCACCTGGTAGCTCTCCCGGGCATCAAGGCCAGCTGGGCAACATGTGGGCAGGCCGGGCTCAGCCTGGTGCGCCCCCCCCCCCCCGGGCCGGCCCATGCACAGGGCTGCCAGACCGGAGGCAAGAAGGAGGGAGGAGGCTCCAGCAGTCCGTGACCCCAGCATCCCAGAGCCTTCCCGGAGTGTGGGGGTGAGTCTGGGACAAGAGGGGAAGGTTTGAGGCTTTGGTCCAGGATTGGCCAGGAGTGTCCCCGCGCCCCCCCGCCCCGCCCTCCCCAGGCTTGGACAGGAAAACATACTCAAACTGGTCTCGACCAGCTTTCTCCCCACTCAGTGAAACCTCTTACCCAGATTCCGATTTCATCATTTGGGGGGCGGGGGGTGGAGTTGGGGGCAGCAGTTCAGGACTACAAGAAAAGAGAGAGAGAGGGTGGAAGGCGACTGGGCTGTGCGTAGGAAATCCGGGTCTCACAGGGCAGGGCGGCCCTTCCAGGCCTCAGCTGGCCCCCTGTGACGTGAGTGTTGTTCCAAGTGGTGTCTTCCCGACGGGACCCCGTATCTGGCAGCAGGAGGGCTTCAGCCACCTCTAGAAGGTACAGCCTCACCTCCTCCCTCAGGTAAGCACTCAGCAAACTTTTTCTGAGCGCCTACTGTGTGTCCAGCCCTGTGGCTGAGGCAGGCTTAGCTCCTGCCCACCTGGGCTCATACGCCAGTGCAGGGGGACACTGAGCAGGGCTTGGACGGAGGAGCCCAGGGGGATACCCAGCCTGGGGAGTGGAGTCCTGGAGGGCTTCCTGGAAGAGGCAGCATCTGAGCTGAATTTTGAAGCATGTTAAGGCTGGCCAGTGAAGGGAGGAGGAAAGGGGTCCAGGCAGAGGGTGCCACAAAGATAAAGACCTGAAGGTGAGAAATTTTGGAAATTTAGAAAACCAAGAATAGTTCCATGTGGTGGCAGTGGAAACTGCTGAGAAAAGTGGCTGGAGCAGTGGGCAGGAGCCAGATCAGGTAGATAAAAATTAAAAGGCTAAAGTTAAAACCATTTTTGGCCCTGGCCAGGTAGCTCAGTAGGTTAGAGTGTTGTCCCCATACACCGAGTTTGGTGGTTCGATCCCTGGTCAGGGCACATGCAAGAATCTACCAATGAATGCATCAATAAGTGGAATAAGAAATTGATGTTTCTCTCTTAAAAGAAATCAGTGTAAAACGATTCTTTTAATTCATTTTACCTCATGGAGTTTATCACCTATAACACTGTTTCTTAAACTTCCCTAGTCTCATAGCTCCCATTTGGTTGTTAAAATGCAGATTCCACCCTGGCTGGTATAGCTCAGTGGATTGAGCCCAGGCCTGCGAACCAGAAGATCTCGGTTCAATTGCCAGTCAAGGCACATGCCTGGGTTGCAGGCCAGTTCCCAGCAGGGGACACACGAGAGGCAACCATTGATATTTCTCTCCCTCTCTCCTTCCCTTCCCCTATAAAGATAAATAAATAATTTTAAATGCAGATTTCTGGACTCCAAAGGCTGACTTCAAAAGGGCGGGACGTGCCCTGGCTGGCGTGGCTCAGTGGCTTGAGCACCCGTCTGAGAGCAGAAAGGTCACCGGTTTGATTCCTGGTCAGGGCCCTTGCTAGGGTTGCGGGCCAGTTTCCGGACCTGCAAGATACAAGCCATGGATGTTTCCCTCCCTCTTTCCCTTCTCTCTAAAAACAAGCAAAAAAACCATTTTTTTAAAAGGAGGAGGGAAGTAAAATCCCACCCCACACCCAGAAGGAGAAGAGGGTGGGCAGACTGGTGGGCACGCTTGCTGAATGCCATTCTTTGATTGGCGTCCGGGGGTTCTATATTTTCAAACCTCTCGAGGTGCCAGCCTATTCGTGGGGCATAAAATAAATGAGCAGAGCTCAAGCAGTTAATTTTTCAAAACTAAACATCACAGCATATTATACAAGTAAGTATACTTGTCTCGTGCAATTTTCATTTAATTTACCGAACACTTGTACGTACACATACGTGCAGCAAGTAAAATACACATTCCCGTGAGTAGTCAGTGTCTCAAATTGAAAACAGCTGGAAAAACACTGCCTGATCTACCGCGTCCCGACCTTCCCAGGCCTAACTCCTCGCTGCTTTTCCTCATACGCTTTTGTCTTCACCGACTAAGCTCTTCCGACTTCTCCCCAGGGTCCCCCGAGTCCTCCAGACCCCCAGGCTGGGTCAGGTGTCCCTCCAGGCCCCTCCAGCCCCCTGGTCCCGTCCACTCTGGGGGTACACACTGAGGATGGGCCTATCCTCTCCATTGGGCTGGGGGTCCGGGAAGTCTGGACCACTGCGGCGTCCCTAGCATCGCCCTGCCTAGGTCAGGCATGCAGTGGGGACTCTGGGAATGTGGGGTCGCTCTTTGAGAAGCAGGAAGGGAAGAAGGATGCTGGGCCCCTGCATCCATGGCCATGAAGAGGCAATAAAACTTCACGTGTTCAGTCTTGTCGGGAAGCTGCAGCCTGGGGACTGGAGACAGGCCCAGAGTGTCCCTTGCAACCTGTCTAATGATTTATTTAAGAGCCAGTTTGTCTGGCCTGCTCTGTCCCACCTCCCCCAGCTGCTGGCTCACGGGGGCCCTGTGGTTTGTGGTCCAACACAACTCGGGTTTCTGGGCCTGGAGGCGCAGGGCGGGGTGTCGGGCACCACCCACCTCTCTCCCCGCAGATCCAGCCAAGGCTGAGGGATCTGTGTGCAGCGCAGCCATTGGGAGGCCCTGCCCGGGGACCCCAGAGGTGACCCGGGGCTCAGGTGACCTGCACTGAAGATGCTTGATGCTTCCAGTGAGGCAGGATAGGATGTTAGTCAAGAGCGTGGTGGGAGGGGGGTGAGTAGGGACTGAGAGACCGCCCCCCCCACCTCTTCGCTGACCTTGCACCGCGGATGCCGCCTCTGAGACTCACGTCCTTGCCTCTGAAACAACATGAAAGTAGAATCCGCCCCTGAGGTGGCAGAGGATTCTACAAAATCACACAGTCAAACTCCTTCGAATAATAGGCCCAGGCAATCTCATAAGATCAGAATACTGGGGGAGGGCTTTTATTAGTGTAATTAGTGGCTTTCCCTTTAAAGAGACCTGGTTAGAGGTGAGCCAGTCCTCACACTGGGGCATGTGAGGGGACCCAGGCCTGCCTCGGGGTTCTGAAGGAGTGTGCTCCTGCCAGGAGCTTATGGTAAAAATAAGTGCACAGCCCCTTCATGGGACTGTAGGCGTCATTGTCATTGGCTGGCCTGGAGGACAAGGACATCGTGTGTCTGGGACATTGCTGCCTCAGACCGCCTGGGGCTACGGGAGTCCTTGAGTTCAGGGTAATTCCCCTCACCGGTGCAGCCAGCTGGATCTCTGGCGAAAAGTCCAAAGAGCCCCTTGCCTGCTTTCTGAGAGAAGGGACTGACTGCTGGCGGCCCAGCTCTGAGAGGTGTTTGAATTTGCACTTCAGCCTGAGATGAGGGGCAGGCTGAGTGCTGATTACCAGGCCCTGGGCAAAGTTAATTTTCCCCGTTCCAGAGCTGCGGGAGTCAGCATTTCAGGGTAGAAGGGTAGGGTGCACCCCTTGAACTCAAATAAAGCAGGCTTATGAAATATGAGGGCATGGTAGAAACCAACGGGTCCAATCCCCTCCTACTACAGAAAAGGAAACTGAGTCCCAAAATCCCACAGCAAATGATCGAAGGAGCCAGGGACAAAGCTGTGCATGATGCCAGCTAAGGCCCGGGGTCACGCCTGGCTGCATGCATCACTTAAAGCTCCTAGAGCCAGCCCTGCCTGAAGCCACCCACTTTGGTGACTTCTCACTCAGATGGGCCAATCAGTTTCTGATTTTTCTGAAGATCCTTATGGGGAGATTTTTCAGTCTCCTGAGACAGAAAGGGGCTGGCTGGATGGAATGGGAATAAACCTGGGGAAAGGGCACTGGGAAGTAAGCTCCCTCCCGTAAAGGGGAAAGGTGCCAGCAAGCAGGCGTGGGCGGGAACACGGCCCACTTCAGGGGACAGACAGCAGGTTATCCAGGTGGCTGGAATGTGGAATTTGCAAGGGGTCCTGGTAGAGTGCTGGTGCCACTTTCTGGTTGCAAGACAAAGGGACAAAGGCCACTGATGGAGGGCTTAAGCTTTGGAAGGATCTGAAGACTTTGTCCATCCGGGAGCAGCAGGAACCATGGAGGCGTTTAAGCTGCAGGGCCAAACGATCAAGCTGCATCTTCCCAGAAGGTCTCTGCACTCCAACCCGCCAGCCTGGGGACGCGGAAATTGCTTCTCCTCCGTGCAAAGGCACGAGGCGTGAGGCCACAGGCATTAACGTTAGAACTCCCGTGCCCTTTGACACGGTACTTCTTGTTTGTGGGGTTCATCCACAAGGGCAAAATCACCAAAGCCCTGTTTGTGTGCCCATCGGGAAGAGGAGACCAAGGGTTAAAGAATGAAACTCAACAGTGTGCGTTTGAAGATCTAATTGGGTTTTTTTTAAAGATTTTATTTATTTATCATTAGAGGGGAAGGGAAGGAGAGAAGAAGAGAACATCAGTGTATGGTTCCCTCTCGTGTGTCCCCAGCCGGGAACTGGACTGCAACCCAGGCATGCGCCCTGACTGGGAATCAAACCGCAATCCTCTGGTTTGCAGGACCGAGCTCAATCCACTGAGCCACACCAGCCGGGGCAGATCTAATTGGTTTTTTTAGGCAGCTCACAAATCAGGCAACTAGAAGGACAGATGTCTTCATAGAAAGCAAGGCAGGGCAAGGTAACTATTAACAAAAGGGAAAAAAGAATTGTTTTTCCACCAGGACATCTTTGGGGGCAGGGAATAATAAGGGCTTTTATCATACAGACTGCTTGTTCTTTCTAGGGGGGAGTGGAGATGGAGAGAGGGTTCAGCTGACCAGAAAATTCCCGATTGGTTAAGAATGTATTTCTGGGAGAGCTGGAACAGCTGTTAGGTCAGGTATTAAATCTAGGTTTGGTATCATGGGATTTGGCAGAAGTGATGCCAGGCACTGTTTGGGGCGCGTGGTCTCCTGTTTGACACCAGCAAAATCTCTTACGGCTCATCCATGCAAGGAGATACTACGCTGCTCTACAAAAGAATGAGCTAAATCTCTGTGCGTTGCAGCAGTGTGCGGGTAAATATTTAACCACTGGCTCTCTGCGGGGAGGACGTGGTGCTGATCCATAGTGTCTGCCAATGCCTGTGGTGTCAATACTCCCGCCTCGGCTGATTTTTTAAAGTTTTTATTTATTTGTTTTTAGAAAGAGGGGGAGGGAGGGAGAAAGAGCGGGAGAGAAACATTGATATGAGGGAGAAACATTGAATAGTTGCCTCTGGAACATGCCCTGAGTGCGGACCGAACCTGCGACCCAGGCACGTGCCCTGACTGGGAATTGAACCAGCCGTCTTTCGCGTTGTAGAACAATGACACGACCAACTGAGCCACAACCGTTTCGGGCCAGGCAAACATCCTCTGACTGAGCTTTGCTTTATTGCGCTTCGCGGATGCTGTGGTTTTTACAACTCGAAGGCACTGTGCTCCACCAGCAAAAAGGCTTTGATTCGTTTTATTGTGGTGGCCCAGAACTGATG